TGTTGCTATAGGGCTTTGAAGAGGTACCAACCACTACTAGGCTTTGAGAGTACCTACTGCTACAGGGCTTTAGAGAGATGCCAGGTGCTGCTGGGCTTTGAGAGTGCTAGCAGCTATAGGGCTTTAAAAAGAGGCGCTATTTGTTACTAGGCTTTGAAGGTGCCTGATGTTATAGGACTTTAAAAAAGGTGTCAACTGTTATTGCTCTTTAAGAGGAGATGTATAAGTTAGATCCTCTAGTATAAGTCGTGTTCTCCTCAATTAACCCTAAAATAGAACTTCGTTTGGGACTGTTGTTAATAATCCTGAAATTGCACCAGTTAATTATGAGTAGAGGGCATTATTCATCATACTATAAATATGTATCTAGACAAAAGTTGCTTTTTCATTGAAAGCTATGTTAAGATTCAAAACTATGTTAAGATTCAAAAGGAAAACTATATTAAGTTGCACCATAAAAGGCCATATTGTTTTAATAGTCAACTAGAGTTTGACAAAATTTCTCCAGCTAGGGTTTTTTAAATTTCTTTTAATTTTTGTTTTTTATTTTCTCTCAATTATTATTCAAAAGGATATTTCCAAATTGAGGAACTAGTCATCTTAAATGATATATTTTGATTTTAATTTTTTGATTTTTCTTTTTAATGTATCCACTCATATTTCCTAACTTAGAAGTCAGTCAAACATTAACCACATATTCTCTTTTTATTATCAATTATGGTGGGGAAGATTTTCTTGCATGATTTTCCTTTTTTTTTTTTGGAGAGATTTTAAACTTGGTATCCAAGAAAGAATCAAGGATGATTTTTCTATTTTTATTGATTTCTTATTTACTAGATTTTTTTTTTGTGTGCTCGGACAAAATGTGGCGTTTACAGTGGTCTTGCCATAAAAGAACATAGACTGGATTTGCAATAATAGAACCAAAAAGTGTAGTAGTTTAAGGCTTTTTCATGATCACACAATCCATTCCCTTCTAAGGCTCCAATCAAAGAGATCTATAACTCAAGGCATGATGCTTGCAACAATGATAAGTTACAAACGTACCTACCATCAATGTTTCAATTCCAATTAAGATAAAAACAACTTAGACCACAATTCTAACATTTATTCTAACTAAGCCAATCGCATAAATAGAAAAAAGAGACTGTTACAAGCATTTCATCAAACACTTGGCAAGCAAACTACAAAGAAGCATAGACATTTTGGCTACAGTGTCATTATAGTCTCCTTGTATCCCATGGCAGCTTCTTCTTGTTTTTTTTTTTTTACTTGAAAAAGAGTTTTCATTATAGAGAAAGAAGCTACAAACACTAAAGAAGCAACAGCAAACAACAGGAAGCCTAAACAACAACAGTTATGCTAGGACACACAAACACACAAACCAAAGAAGAGGGATGCAAGAACAGATCCTAAGACCCAAGGATTAAAAAGAGCAATGACCAATTTCTATCTGCTTTGATTGGAGAAGTGGCGATAGAGAGTGATAGTCCAAGAACTAGCTTCAAAGAAGCCCACAATCTTTGGTGCCAAAACTGCAACACAGGCAACTCCAAACACCCCTGCTATCGCAGGGGGAGAAGAAAACAAAGGAAAGTTAATCACTTCCGGTGAAAAGCAAATCATCACAGACATAAACCAGTCGTCACTAGCGACAAAATGAATCCAAGGGATAAGATTATTGCTAAAACATAACAAGCTACAAAGACAAAGCCTAAAACAAAGGAGGGGTGAACAAAATGTAACACCTCACATAATCATATCCATATATGCGATAAATATTTCATTTAAAAGTCCATATGTATTTCTAACACTTTGAATAAGTCATAATTTCAAAATATTTCTGAGATAACAACAAAAAGCTGTTAAAGCCTTATAGTCATGGCAAATGTAAATATAACATAGCATGTGCTTGAGGAGCACAAAAGCCTTCACGGCTCACTCTATTGGTGCCTTCCCTTGATTCCTACTAGATCCTTCGTCAGAAAATTGTTAATATAGGGGGTGAGATCAAACGTCTCAGTAACTACTGAAATTCTAACCTATACAAGCAAACCATATATGATAAACCAAAAGTCTGTTTATATGTGTGCATATAAATATAGTAAAAATCACGGATTTGATACATTCAATTCAATTTCATTTTTTTCAATATATCCAAAAATAATACAATATGCTGCCTCCCTTATATCACCGTCCACCCTTATATCGCTGACTAGAGCCATAGGCTAACACATAGTCCGATAGGAACTAATCCATTTTACTGAATTATTCCAAGCTCACCGATACTAGAGATATATCCGGCCAAAGATATAAAGCTCAAGCTCGGACTATGGCTCCCCTCCTTTGTGAATAGGGAGGTGTCACATGTCCCACAGTTCCAATGAATTCCCGGCCAAAGGAAAACATGGAAGAAGGGGCCCTGACAAGTGCCATCCACTGTGCACCGAGTGATGACATACCACATAGTAATTTATATCCATGCAATCTCCTTCTATCCTTATCCCAACAATGCATGTCATATGCAAATAATGGTACATCATAAATAGATTCTCAAATATATTATTAAAAATAAGATAGCAATAAAATTCATATACCATTTAACAGTAACTCATGATAATTTCATAGCTATTAATATATTTAAATATTGATCATAATTACTAGTAACAAATCTTAATAAAATCAGGTAACATACCAAAACATTTATTTTACAAAAAATCATAATATTATATTTCAGTAATATAATAATTAGTAAATCCATAATATAATCATACACAATTCACATGTACAAGAAAGAATTTTCAGAGTTATCTGGTACTCTTTAGCTTACAAATATTCACACAAAGATTACTCCAAAATTCTCAAGAGTCTACAAAATTGCACATAAATATTTAATAATATAAAGCTATAAATATATAGGAAATATTCATAAAGAAAATTTGACAAGAAGAAGTAGTTTTGTGTACCTAAATGATCATCACATCTTTCCTTATCTTCCAAACATCATGTATTTCCACTCTCTTGATTTTCCTTTCTTCCTCTCGCTCTCTCTTTCTCTTCTCTCGTTCTCTCTCTCTCCCACTCTCTCTTGCTCCGACTTGAAAGAAATAACCTGAATGATGATATATATAATACCCCCACGTCTGATTTTCTACCGCCCATCTCCCATTTTCCACTTCCATCCGTACCTTCCCTCCTTCTTTTTCTTCCATCATTTACTACTCCTCCTCCAAATTCTCCTTTCATTTAATACACCCTCCAATATTCTTATCTTAGTTAATTGCCCCCAACTTTCCACTTCCTACGCCTTATCCTATTTCTCTTCAGTCATCCCTTACCCCTTCTTTTCCTTTGCATTAATTAACCCTCCCATTTTCCACTCTCCGTGGAAAAAAGGGGGTTGGTTTTTTTTTGGTTTACTAATAAAATATTATTTTAATAAAATATTATATTTTCTTTTATTATTATTATTATTTTTTGTACGTTACACAAAACACTAGAAAACACCGCTAGAGAGCCCCCAAACTCCGACACCTCCAAGTCAACGAACACATGTTTCCTCGGTGGCTGCAACCCAGCCACCACCATTTTTTCTAGCAGCTTCCAGAGGACCTCCTAAGCTATGACTTGCGGTGATTTGTAGTGAGAGCCCTAGCATCATTTTCACAGTAGCTCCCTTTCCAGCCAGCGAAATCTTCAGAAGAAAGCCCCAAATCTTTGGTTCCTTCAGCTGTATAAGGAGCACGCTAATCTCATCAGCATTCTCGATTAGCATCTCTGCCATCCTCCTTACCTTTACCCGTTCCCAATCACCAAACCACCAATCACTCGGACCGAGCCACATCCTAAGCGCCATTTTGCTCTTCTCCAACAGATGCAACAGAGAAGACACCCAAGAGGAGAAAGGGGAAAAAAAAACCCGGGCTAATCCTAGGGGAAGGGCGGAGACAAGCTCCGGAAGAAACCCCAGCACAGGCGGCTAGGAGAACCACTCTATGGATTTTGAGTCCCATGGCAGCTTCGCGTTATATGGTTTTCAGCTAATCACATCATCCACACCATCTAAAAACCATAGTCCCATACATTAAAAAAAAAGCAGAATAAATGAAAATAAATCGAAGAAGTTTAGCTAGAATAAGAGAATCGAGAGAAGTGGGGGAGGCAGAAATGAATAACGCGGAGAGGAAAAGAGAGGAAGAAAACAATAATTTCACCTGAAGCATAAAATTGAATTGATGCTTGGGGTTATGTTCATAATCACTAGTTTGAGAGGGAGAGATTGAGAGAAAGAGAGAGGGAGAGATGAAGAAAGAGGAGTGAAAATGACAAGTCCATATCCGCGCACGTGACAACATTGTATTCATTTATCTAAACGATGCCATTGAGCTAATGAGCACTCAGCTGCTGAGCACCAAATGTGAACATCAATAGACACACAAAGGGATGTAAAGCAATAGTGGGGGTGGAAATAGGCCATATTCCTGAACCTAGTCTAGTCTGTGTAGTACTACCTCCAGTTTTTAATATAAAAGTTAGTTGACTAATTTGAGTGGATTAGGAAAATTAGTTAAGTTAGTTATTTCTAATAAATATATGTTGTCTTTCCTAAAATATCTTTACTAATTAATCAAATGTATTGGTTGAAAATATCACTATTATAAGGACTATCTTGAGAAAAAATAAATAAATATGAGAGACAAAGTGAATTAAAATCTTATATTTAAGATCAAAATAAAAATCAAACGAGTCGTGATAAACAAACCAAACTTTTCTAATGATTTTAAAGGGGTGTTTGGATAGAAACCAAACCATGGTTTTAGAAGTGCTTTTATGATTTACGAAGTAAATATGTAGAGAAATTTATCTCGTTTTACAGAAAAGTGTTTCTGAAACCATGGTCTTTAAGGTTGCCAAACACCCTTTAAATTTTAAAAACCTGTTTCCTTTACCAAACCGGGCCCTTTTTGCTTTTGCCTGCAAACAATACCCTTGCTGATCCACAGCCGTCGCGGGCCTCCTCACTTCTTCCTTCAGCCCTCAGCCGGCGATTGTCTCTAGCCGCCTTAGCCACCTTTAGTCTTTAATGCCGTTGAAGTGGCTGTTGCCCACCCTCGTCCCTGTTTTGTCCACGTCTCGTATGTCCTTGCGTCCCTTCATTCGCAGAAGTAGAAGAAGCAGAAGGGAAGTGAGTAAGAAACGCAGCAATACACCGATAATTTTGGGCGTGATTCTTGGCTGTACTCGACTATAGGAGGGTGTTACATAGGGGGGTGATTGAGAGAGAGCTTTAGAGATAGAAGAAGAAGGAATAGAGCGAGATAACCCCAGAGCAAAGAGGAACGGAAGGCAAAAAACTCGTTATTCTCTGAGGGTTCTCTGCTTCGCTCTGTAACCCACGGTATTTTTTATCCTGTTCTGTGAAGGTTAAAATATTATGTTCTTTTGCAATTGCCTGGCTGTTAATTCCTTAATGAATTTTTGTTTTAAAAAAAAAAAGAAGAAGATTGTAGTGGAAAGGTTTTGAATTTACCTTTAATATTATGTCCCATTAGTTGTTGCGTTTGTCGGAATTTTGACCCACTAGATTGAACTCTCTGTGTATGTGAGTGGTCTGTCGGTTGCCAGTTTGTCCCTTCAAATTGTTCCTTGTACAATTTTTCGGGCATTCCTTTTATGTGTTGATCCTGGCATTTTGGTCGCTTTTTGCAGATGAAGGTGAACAAGCTGAAGAGGCATAGGAAGAGTCTCACATTTTACAGTTCTTGCTGCGGTTTTCGGAAGCCTTTCAAGGTTTTGTGTGATGGAAATTTCGTACATCACCTTATTCAGAATAAGATAACTCCTGCTGACAATTCTCTTGCTAATATTCTAAACTCTGATGTCAAGCTCTTCACAACCAGGTCTGTCTGTATTTCTGATTATTATATTTTAAAAAATAATTAGTTTTTAACCTCTGTTCTATTGCTAACCCATCTCAGTTGTGTGCAAATATGTCATCTCCTTTTGTTTGGTTTAGTTTCCCTTTTTCTTCTTACTTTTGATTCTCATTTCTTGTGAGTTTTTGATGCAGATGTGTTCTAGAGGAGTTGAAACGACTTGGTCGCTCATTTGCTGAGTCCCTTGAGGCAGCTCGTCAGCTTAAAATTGCCAGGTTCTCCATCCCCTATCTTTTTTGAGACAATAATTGAGTTACACAACAAAGTTAAGTAACTCTATTTAAACCCGGCACCCATGCCAAAAAAAAAAAAAAAGGTATTATTGTTCATCTCGGCAACAGATGTCGTATATCAGATTTCTCATTGGATATCAAAACAGTTTGAACTACTAACCCATACACTTGGCTTAATGCTCTTTCATGTACAGGTTTTAGTTCTTGGTGTTCAACTATTCATGATGATAAACTTAATTTTTATGAAAAAACTGAATTTCTACATGCATGTCTCAAAATCACTAATACATTTTGACGTGTTTATTTTTCTGAATACCCAATATCATGCAGAGGGAGTGCCAACCTAACGTGTCTCTAAAAAATATTCATTTCCAATTTATTTGATGTAAGAGTTTGGAAGAGAGGTACCCTTTATTTTGACATAGAAATGGACCTGCCATTTTTTGTTCTAACTCAAGATTCCCATGATCTAATAATGATCAATTTTGACTGATGTTCATGCTAACAAATTTTGAGATATCTGGATACTAGTTTTGCTATATCTATTCTCACTTGAGTTTAAACATTATTATATAGATGTGAGCATGAAAAATGCGAGCATGCTGCTAAATGCATCATGGACGTTGTTGGAGAAAATAATTCGCAGCACTTCTTTGTTGGTAGTCAAGATACTGAGCTGCGGAGAAAGCTGCAACAGGTTTTCCACTTTTCAATTACTTTAAGTTGGCAAGTTAGTTTCTATTTATTCTATGACTGAATGAAATCTTGGCAAACATTATTGGCACAATTGTTAAGTAGATGCTTAAAAATTGAGACATCCATTCTTCTCTTTGTGGGAATACTTTTGTCCTGTTATTGTATTCTTTGTGAAGATTTTTCTTTTTTCTTTTTTCTTTTTCTTTTTTTGATTGTTTAGGATTTGATTCATCTAGACATACTTTGAAGACAAATTGCATCTTCTTGTGCAATGTGCATACTGTTTACTGGTTCTGCCAGAACGGAACTAAAGCAGTTAATTCCAAACTTGGATGGGGTAGGGTTCTGGATCTGCATCTCATTTTAATGTTGGTGTTGGTTATTCTGATTAGATGAATGGCAGCATTAGGTCTCTAAAGTTGAAGAATTTTGAGATAGCTCATGATTATTGTATTAACATTGTTTTAAATGGGGGATGTAGGTGGATGCATGTTGATGATGTGATAGGAACCAAGGTAGAACAGTAGGAAAATAGAGTTGGAACTGATATTGATTCCGCAAAACACTTGTTACAATACAAGATATCTCTTGTTCAGCTCACATACAGGAAACACCACAGAACACTCAACTCACTAACTTATAAAACTGATGAAGAAGGACTCTTCCTCCACCCTTAGCCTGGCTTTCAAGTGGCCAGTCCTCTCCATAATTCATTCTGAATACAAAGCAAGTCCTCCCCATTCAGAGAAACTAAGGGCTAATATAAGCCAAAAAGTAACCAACACAGTCCCCAAGACGTTTTTTAACAGCGCCCCTAGAGCTACTCTACCTTTCAGCTTCTTTCTCTAAATGGGGGACGTCTTAAAGTCAACTCCCTGACCCCTAGAAAGTGTTTTTCGCTTTTCTTGCATCTTCCTACCTTTCTTTTTATACGTTTCTTCTTATAGGTCTGGCCTTTCTTGCATCTTCCTACGTTTCTTCTTGTAGGTCTGGCTATCTAAGATGGTTCTATCATGATGCCTAGATCTAACTCTCATTGACTGGGATTTTGTTCATTAATATGTGCATATTTATACTTGTCTATCACATAATTTAGTATTAGTAGTTTTAGATCATTTCTAATTGTTATCCCCTGGAAGAGGGGTTATTAAATTCTATAATGTTTGGTCATTCTAATTTATTTTCTATGTTGTAAATTTGTTTCAATTACTGTGTTTCAGCTAGGTTGCCTTTTGTACCTTATGAAATCGATCTTGCTATCACTTGGCTACTTGATTCCTTGATGACAATTTGTGATGAAGTTTGTAATTTTAATTTCCAAAAAAGTAAATTTGTCAAACTTTTTGCTATTAGAAATTTCTAAAATTGTCTTGTAGCATGTTATATGTTAATGGTCCCGCAATAGTTTAAGAATTTTACCCTTAAATTGACAGTAGTTCTTGTTTACTTGCTTGTCTTGTAGGTACCTGGTGTGCCTCTTATATATGGTCTCAGAAATGCTCTTTTCCTCGAGCCTGTATCTGCATTCCAGAGAGAATTTGTTAAAACTTCAGAAGAAGCAAGATCACATATAACTGACAGAGAGTATAAAATGCTCACAAATAGATTACAAAGTACATCAAATGATGAAGAAGCTGCAAACTCTGCAGATGAAGAGAAGGATTTAGGGGATCAAACTAAAGATGTAAAGCCAGTGAAAAAGAATCGCAGTAGTGCGAGGAACCAAATGGGTGTTAAGGATAGACCTCAGTTCAAGAGAAAGAAAGCAAAGGTTAATTCACTATAATGCTGTATTTATTTGCTTGTTCAACTTTGTTTTTTAAAGTTGAAGTTCATTAAAATTATAGTGAATTTAATTATTTGATAGCAATTTCAGCCAGCACTGTGTTTTTTATATTACTTTTCAATTTTGCAGGGTCCAAACCCATTATCTTGCAAGAAGAAAAAGAATGGTAATGAAAACCACAAGGCTGGTTCATTGAAGGTGATCTTTCCGGAATTCCTATAATTCCTTTTTTTTTTTTTTTTTTTAACTTTCCTGATCTTGAATCCTTGTTAACATTATTAATCGCTAGTGATTTATAAACGTTCATAACAAATTTTTTGTTTATTTGTTCACTCATGTCAAGTGTTCTCTCTCTCTCTCTGTTTTTTTTTTGGTGGGGTGGGGGTTCCTCAAATGGATGGGGCTTAAGAATCATGTTTGGTATATAATACACAAGAACAGGGTATGGTTTTGTGCAAAAATTTCAAGTGAAGCTGAGAAATTTTTTCCTCGCTGATGAGGATTTAGTCCCGAAATTTGTGCAGCGGCATGTGGAAATTATTAATAAATATACAAAATATTGTGGGTTCTGTCTGTTGCACAAATTTGGCTTTGTTCATGACTCATGAATCATACAATTTCTCAAGTCTTTATAATATATAAAGAATGCATAACAGTGTTGACTTCATGTCTTGCGTAGAATTTTCACAATGAGCCGCCATAACTATTCATAGATCAAATTGTGTAGTTTGTTATCTATATATATATATATATATATTTTTATATATGATTCTATAGTTCTATTTGTCAAGAGCAAATTGGAAGATAGAGTTGATGTGTGTGTGTGTGTTTTGAGCGTTTCTTCAAGGGATTTTCTGGTGCAGGAAAAGACAGAAGGAGACAAGAAAAGGAGCAGGAAGAGAAAGAGGACACGGAAGGGACAGCAAAACGCAGCAGTCACAGATTAGTTATGAAACGTGAGCATTTAGATGTTTAGCAGTCACAGATTGATTTCATAGTGTAACAGTGCTATCAAGAAAAGGTTGGTGTAGAAAGAGAGAGTCTCATGCAGTTTTGTTTTGTTTTGGCATCTTTTTGGCGGGATATCTAGTTAGAGGATTTTATGTATTAGTAATTTTATTTTTATTTTAGTTAGATTTCTTTTAAACTGTCCTGGTCCTTGTTAGTATTCAGGCCTCCATGTCAAATTTCATGTGCATGGACAAAATAACCAAAAAAAAAAAAATGTTGGAGAATTACTTTCATTTGAATCATAATGTTTGAATTTGAGTGAAGGGATAATTCTGAATATCATATGATTATTTTAAAAAAAAAAATTGAGTCTTCACTAATGGCTTTGGAATAAAGAGGTTGTGGTTGAGCCGCTTCATTGGATTTGATTGGTGTTATTCCATGTTTTAATTTTTTTGGAAAATGTTTAAAATGATCTTGTTTTAAAATCATCCTTTGGTTTACATGTTCCTTTATACCAAACTAGAGAAATCATAATTGATTCTTTTTATATGGGTGAATCGGTTATCTTTGCGTCTTCATTTGCCTTGCCGTCCTTGGCTCATGCATGATACCTTGGTACAAAATCCATTGAGCCTTTTGTGCATGCTGCAACGCCCTTGTAGATAAACCAGGTTTAAGAGGATAAACATAGGATTGACTCAAGTGATTAATGTAAAGGATTAAGACCAAGGTTTACATAATGAATGTCTTGAAGTTTAATAATAAATTGAGGTTAAAGTATACTCGTATTTAAATTTAGTTTCGTGACTTTAAAAAGTATATTGAGTTTTTTAACTATAAAATCATTAATATTGATATTTTGAAACGTTAATAAAACATTTTTAAATGCTAATGTATGAAGTTTAATTTTCAATAATGGTTGTTACAAGATCATTATTTGAGATTAGCGATTTTAAAATTAAAGGTATGAAAATATACTTTTTAAAATTGAGAAACTAAATTAAAATCTTGCAGAGATAGGGATCCAAGACATTGAGCCAAAGTCTAACAACAAAAGAAAATTTGGGGAAGCAAAATGTTGAGGACCGGATCATTTTTGCCATAGCATATAATACTCACAGAAAAAGAGGGAGTGCCATCTCTGGGCTTAACGGTGTTTGTCACAATTTGACTTTTGTTATGAAAAGCATCAAACTTTGAAAAAACTATAAACAAAATCTTATAATTAGGATTGGAGGTAATATTCTAAGAACTAATACGAGTACAACAATCTATATTAAAGATAATAAGGGGTGATCAAAAAGAAAAACACCCTTTGAATTTTCAGTCCAATACCCCACGTTAACAATAAAATTCAAGAAAATACATCAAACAAGAGACTACCTCATGGCACAAGAATGATCATAGCCACCCCCATTCCCCAATAACTAACCTTTTGAGGAAAATGGTGATGTGCTCTATTAGTCAAAATTGCAACCCATTAATAAAAAGGGGACAAAATTTGAGTGAAGTTGTCTATATTCAATGGGTCAAATTCTCTTGTCATACTCGATATTTTGCTATTGTTTTTTTTTTGTTTGCCAACATTACTTTACTATTAGTTGTTAGAATGTGTATGTGCATTTATAGATTTACATATGAAATATTAACAATTGTTATTTCATTACTGTTAGTTGTTAAGATAGTATATGTATTTGTAAATTTACCTATGGACTTAAGCTAATGAATGTCAGCAAATTAACCTAAATTTTGTCTTAAAAAAAATAGAAAAAAAGACGATAAAATGATTTGAAAATTGTTAAAAGATAAATAGGCGTGGTTGAATTTTAAAATCTTAAATAAATTTTTTTGTACAATTTTAAAATTTTATGAAATGACACTAATACCCTTCACTATTTTTTTTTTTTTTTAAGATTTCCTCCTCAGCACCCAGTTTTGGGCTGACGGAGCTTTGACAACATGTTATCGAACTCTAGCGATTGGTTATCGGAGTTCTAATGACTACTCTTTCTTACGCACTAACTATTTTTTTAGCTATTGACTATTTTTGTTTTTAAAACTTCTATCACTACTTTAATGTTGCTACTTTCATTTTTGAACATTTAGTGATTACTTTTGTTTAGCTATTGATTATTATTGTTTTGTTGTTGACTACTTTTTTTTTCCCCAAAAGTTTTAAAAAATGCATTAAGTATTGTTGGGTATCTAGTGACTTTTTTTTTTTTTTTAAGTTATTTACTATTTTTATGTAGTTAATAGCCATATAGAAGTAGTCATTAAAACTTTGAAAACAAAAGTAGTCAATAATGAAACTAAAATAATTAATTACTATATAAAAGTAGTCAATAAGAATACAAGGACACTATTGTCATTTCATAACTTTTTAAATTTCAAAATACTACAAAAAGGTTTGATTTGAGATTTTAAAATTCACTCACTCTAATTTATCCTTTACATTTTTGAGGATATTTTATTGTCTTTTTCCTAAAAAATAACAGCACAACATAATTGCAAATAAGCACTATATACTTGGCACTTCCATATCCATATTATGTTAACTAAAACTTACTATTCCTTATTCCTTTTATAAGCAATAAATTACTAATCATTAGGACAAAATATATAAAGAATGGTTAAAACTAATAATCAAATGTAATTTTTTTATAAATAATAATCTCATTTAATAAAAAAATTGTCGTCACTTCTCATTGTAATTATAATTATTCTTTTTAATATGAGTATAAAAAATTTCATAAATAATCATTGAACAATATTCTTAAGAATCGTTGGCAAAAAAAAAACTCCTGACATTCTCTTATGAATCAAAGTTCTACTTCCTTGATGCATTTATTTAACTCCCCCCCCCCCCCACCCCAAAATAATTATTTTTTTGGTAAAGGAAATGGGAGCATAAAGGACAGAGGTTCATGTTCATGCATGAGAACACTGAGAGCACAGTGGAAGCAAGATGGTTGTGCCGTTCGCTCCATACTCCATTTCCATTGCACTTGTACGTATATGCGGTTGCATTTCGATAGAACTCAATCGGACAAGAACAAGTGACGAATTGATAATGAGTTTCAGCTCTTCGGAGCCTCCAACAATTCCCGATTTGTCTTCTTCTTTCCCTTCCTTTCTCGAGATACTCTGCCGTCCTCCTCGAGGCTTCAAAACTCCCACTAATTTCATTGTTTTCTTCTCTCAGTTTTCATCTCCAACATGAGCAATTTCGATGCATTTGCACAGAATCAACAGGTTAGATGATAATCTAGCTCCTCGTTTTGAATTTTTTTTTGAACCTTTTGATCTGTGTAATGAATTGAGCTAATGCATGCATATCAATATGCATACTGTATTATTATTTTCTATCTTTTTTTTTTAAATTTTTCCTTCGGAAAATTATGTCTTGCTCAGTTAAAGGTCCTCAATTTGTTAATGAGATTATAATCAAGCGTGTCGTAGAATTGCCTCATTAGTTACTCGCATGGAATATCCTCAATTATTGCCTTGGAACTTGGTTTTGATGGATACCGCCAAACCTGAATTCTTCATCAAGCTTTTCATCTCAAATATTTTTTTTGAACTCTTTTTTCTTTACCAATAATTCTCTGCTCTGTGTTTTTAGTGAGAACAAAAATTTGCTTTTGTAGATACCTGATTGTTGTCTCAGTCTATAATTTCATAAAGACCTTTTCCTAATGTGCAGCATGCATATATTCGTTCTAGAGATAATCCATTCTTTGATGGCCTTGTAAGACCGACACTGGCAAAAGCTGATGACCAGGGTCCCTTGGAGTCTCAAGGAATATCAATCAGCAGGAATGTTTTCAGATCTTTGTCAGATATACCTGAAGAGGTCATGGACTTGCCACTGGAAAATTTAGCTGTCTCGGGATTCAGTTCTAGATCTGTTAAACGCTCTTCTTCTGAGAGCCTAGATATTCAGTCTGCAGTGAAGGAATTATATTCAAAATATCTTGGTGATGATTGTAGCCCTAGGAATCCTGAGAAGACATACGTTGTCTCCGAAACAAAAGAAAATCTGTCAGGCATCTCATTTCCAGTATCTGCTGGCCTTTATTATAATGGGCTTTCACCAAAACTGGAAATTGTTGAATCATGTGAAAGCCTTATCAAGCTAAATGCATATTTGAGAGAAAGAAAAGATGATGTGAATGCTGGTGTCCCTGGGAGATTCTTACATGCTGTTATGGGTATAGATAATGCTGGTAATCTGATCTTCCATTTCTTAGATAAGTTTAACTCATCAGAAACTGAGGTCAGCCTTCATTGAATTTCTTGCTCCAGTTTCCCCAGTCACTGATGAAAATTAATGTCATCAGAAAGGAGAAACTTAATTTCTTTTCTAGATGAATTGCCATCAAGTAGAGTATTTTAATTTTCCCCATAATCCCTATCTTTCCATGAACTACTTGGCTCCATTTTTCTTCACAAGTAGTCCATACACAAATTTAATTTCTTGTGCAGAAAAATATTGAATTTTTCCAGTCATTATAATTTATAGTCATTTTCCCCTGAACTATTAGGTTATATCACTTTGTTGTGCCCACAAAAACAAAAGTATTCAAAATTCTTGGTAATTGTTTATTGATAGAAAAAATGGCACTATGTAACATTATGTTCATAAAGGAGGTTCGATACCAGGTTTTTCGTTAGATGTAGGATTTGATTCAATTATCCTTTCCAAGTTTTACATTTCAATATCAAGCTTCAATCAAAGGTGAGGAAGTATGCTTTGATAATTTATAATTATCTAAGAATCTCGAACACTTTAAGAGGGAATTAAACTGCATAGTATATGAGGATTGGTGCTATTTGTGAATAATCTTGAGTTACAACTTTGTTTATACTTTATGGTCTAGAAAATGTTTCTAGAGGTTTTTCTCATTATCATCACCATTCACCCCAACTCAAGTCCGATTGGTACTTACGTAAACTATTCACAGATGTTGGAGTTGCTGCTTCTACCATCATGTATGCCTTCTACCTAAATGAAACTTTGAGAAGTGCTCAATTCTGCACGGTGCCAGTCATTAACATTAAGCGGGCAAATCTTGGTTCCCATGCAGAACTCAAGTGGTTGCTTGATTCATGTCAAATTGATCAGTCATCCTTAATTTTTGCAGATGAGGTTTGTTTTATGTTAGTTCAAGGAATTCAATGAACACCAGTTTCATTTGACATTTGGATAGTAAGATAGACTTCAAGATGGTTAAGAAGGAGTTTACATGACAAATCTGACTTGAAGATACACTACAGAGAGTTTCCTCTTCGGTTTCCTGATGATAGATCTAATATGGAGCTGTGGCTGTGAACCTATGAGAGAAATGTTTAAACAATATCTTTTCCTGGAATTAATTACTGGTTGCCAAACGAGAACAAGTTTCCGCTTACTTCGTCCATACTTTATTACTAGTTGTAGAAAAGAGCACTTTATGTTTTTGTTACTGTCCATTGCTTAAGATTTGTATTTCTTTTATTCAAAATAAGAGAAACTGAAAATACAGTGATAATGGGCTTTTGCAGCAGATATACCCATCATTAGATATTATAATAAATTTTTCAGGGACATCAACTTAAATAAACTGGTTTATGGACTATGAATAATTCTGTTATAATCTCTTAACATTTCTCACCACTCTATTGCATGATTTTCAATGCTATTTTTGGGCATGCTGATTTGGATTAGTAATATTGAATTACTTTTCAACTTCAATGGAAGTAGGTTCATATGTGTCCACCATAAGCCTGGTCTACTTTTTTCTTCACCATATCCATTCTGTCTCATCCTCATAACAACCATACCATGCAGTGTTTATAGAGAGATTATTCAATTTATCTGGATGAATCTAATTCTTCAACATGCTTAGCCAACTGAGAGTTTCTGAATTCAAAACAGATTGATCTGTCATATTATGATCTATTTGGAAGTCTTAAGATCGTACTGGTGAAGAGCAGCAAAATTGCCCATAGGCAAGAGGTAAGAAAATATGCATCTGACACTTTCTTCCTTTTCTTCTACTCTATGAGGATTGATGGATATTTATTCTTCTGGCAACAGAAGTTAAAGCATGCAGTGGTTGAAATCTTTCACTGCATAAAGGTGAATTTACCATGCTTAGTGTGGTTCTATTTTACATTAGCTTTTTAAGGTCCAAAAATCTCCAAACTACTACATACCATTGAAACCACTGGTTTTTTCTTTTGCAGGGTGACACTGTATATCCTTGGGTTAAAACTGTCACCAGAGGAGAGGTATGGTGTGAAAATTTAAATGCTAACTTTAGTGTTCTCTGAATTGTAGGTGATAATCACAGATCTAGGGCGCCTGCGCACATGCAAGCTCAACACTATTATTTTAACTGGGGACTCTTTAGTATACATGGTCATGCCAAATTATCATGCATGTGTAGACAAAACGGTTAAAAAGTTCAATGCACTCTTCTACTGCTGTACATGATTACATAGTAAAAAATACCAATAGTTTCTGGCCGATGAGTGATGAGTTTTCTCTTCTCCTATATAAAGGAGCACTTGATTTGATTCTTGATGGAGAATTAGGAAAAGCTTCCTCAAAGATATATTGATCCAGTAAGGACTCCTTTAACAAAGTCCAAGACATCCTCCTATAAGATTGAATAGATCATATTATGATAATTTGATGTGCTCTTGAGCTTTCCATCTCTCAAGTTCTGCCCTCTTGGAATGAGTAGTTAATTTCAATGTTCTAAATCAACAGCATGATAGGTATGCTTGCTTAAAATTATAACTGATGTAATTTATACTTTCGAAGGTTGGTGCCATAAATAAGAACAGGTAAATATAGATTAATATAAGAGCTTTTACAGTATTAATGTGGAATCATGTGAACGTGGCAACTAATTGTGCCGCAGTTAGATGTTTCTCCTTTTGTTATCTATTTTATTAGCTATGCATGCATTAAAAATTAAAGCAAATGATATCTTTCTCACATGAAGTGGCTTCATGTGGGCAAAAATTTAAAATATCCTACAAGCACGAAGTGCAAATTCAATTTTGCTGTAATTTTTTTAATCCATCATTTGTTTATGTACCTATGAATACAGGAATGCTCATGCTGTACTGCCATAGCTGAGAAGTTTGCCATGTATTCGCCTGAAATGCTGGCCTGCAGATCGTTCAGTAGACTTTTGGTACTTAATAATTCTAGCTCAGGATTTTGATACCTATTTGTTTTTGTTGCACTATATCTTTTATGATTTGAATTTTCCCAGATGATAAAATATCATGGAAATGATAATAAGTTAATAACTAACGGACCAAGGTAGGAAAATAACTTATAATATTTATAACTTAACCATAATTTTATGTCATTCTCAATATCCTGTTGTAAATGCACTTCTTAAAATCAAAACAAGTTAACTGCAAACTGCTCACCTCATTAGTTCAATATTTGGTTTGGTCTTCAATACATTGCTTTAGAGAATCCAAATCCCCTATACGCAATTTATCTGCTTGTTTATTAGGGTTCTCTTCTTAATTAATATAGAATTCATTTTTTCTGTTATCTCATTCTTGTTTCAGGGATTATTTTAATGGGAGATAAAAGCTGGGAGTCATTAAAAATATTATGATTGTTGTGTGTAACTTATCTTCCTGAACATCAAACCTGACTGCCTTACGTTGCTAATTACACCTGCCTGCAGTTAGCTGGAATCCTTCTGGATACTGATAATCTGAAAGACCCTCGTTGCACCTCCAAAGATAAGTACATGACTTCCCTATTGCTCAATGGCGCTGGCCGATTTGGATGCAATGGTCTCTACCAATTATGTAAGCCTCCCGCCATTTCTTCTTTGGTTTAGTTCTTGTGATACAGGTCAATTCTGATTGAATACAGTGCAATTGGCCATGGGCTTCTTCTTTCTTTCTTTCTTTTTTTTTTTCTTTTTTTTTTTTTTTTTTTTTTTTGGGGTTACAATTTGATTGGCATTTTGCTAGTGTTGGGTGCTGCAAATATTACATATGCAGGTTATAGGCACCGCTTTCCCTCCGTCTGTATTTGGTATAGATTTCATTACTCTTACCTAATTACTCATTTCTCTGAACCAAATACGATGGAAATAATTTTTCAAAAGTTTAGGGCATGCATCAAGAAGGTTATTAATAAAAATATTTAGGCCATATTTATGCAGAAACGAAAATTAATGAATATAACTAGAAGTTAAAATATTTTGTAAGGCATTATTATACGGTTTTGTTTCATTATGATAGAATGAAAAATAAAAAAGAAAAAAAAAAAAAAACCAACAAGCGTTGGTCCTAGTGGAAAGGGCTTCGGTTTGCTTAAACACGAGATCTCGGCTTTGAATCCGTGTAAATGCAAAAAAGGTCTTTAGGAGAGTTACCTTCAATTGAGGCCAACAACGCTTGGATTTGACTCAATCACATAGCCATATTGGAAAAAAAATAAAAAATATTTCACTACCTCTTTAAACATCTCTGAAGGAGAAAGAGGGCTTCATGTTTAAGTATTTGAATTTTTTCAATATTTATGGTATAGTAATTTCTATTTTCATAAACGTTTCTATCAAGTCATCCAAGTCAGTAATTAAAAAAGAAGATATAGTTAAACCAGATCAATTATGACTGTCTGATTAAGATTAATAATTATGATAAGAATTCAATTAGTTTGAGTTACTATTTGTTATGAGATCACCAAATGATAAATTAGACTCATGATAATTATTAGATTTAACAAGTTGAAAATACTGAGGTTGCAACTAAGCACATCAAGCCTAGACAGAACCCTTGATAGTAATAAATAATCAGCCATCGGTTTGGTCTATACAAGGCCGTTGTAGAAGTCTGTGTGCATTTGTTGAATTCCGTTATTATGATGTGAAGTCTATGTTTTTACTGAAAAGAATGGGGAAGATAAGTAGACATAATTTGACTTATACAGTGCTATAGTTTTGGTAGTTTGAAAGTCATAAAAGTACTGAAGTTCCATTTGAATGGTAAGGTGATCAATCATAATGAAGCTCATTGTGAATTTATGTATCTGTTTGTAAACTTGGTCTTATCATTTCAATCTTCTGTTAACAAGCATTTACGATTTTCAGTGAAATACAAGATGCATGATGTCTCTACTCTACAACTAGCCGATATCTTGCGAAAAGACTTTAAGAAGTGGACAGAACTAGGTATATGAGCTTGTTAATTCATCTTTTAGTTTATTAAGGAACAAGGTTTTACTTATCATTTGATAATTGAAATTATGCATACTGTTTGTGGAGCGAACGTTGGTTCCATATATGAATTCATCGCACTTTTCTGCTTATAATTTGCTTAGTCACTGTAGTTAAAAAATTCATTAACATACTATCAAGATTATTATTTACCCCTTTACCCTCCCCCCCCCCCCTCAAAACACAAGTGTGAAATAAAGATGTTATTGCTTATATGGCCATCAGCTGTCAGGTCAATAAACAACCACATTAACATTTAATCTCTTCAGCAAAATATATGTAAAATTTAAAATTACAGAAAACGGGTAAGTTCGAGGAAAATAGGGGGCAAGATGATTAAGTTATCGGAATATAAAAATTATAATGTGTTCCCTTAGTATTTTGATTCATGTGCATCGCTTTACTTAAACTGTTTAAAGAATGTATTAGTTTAACTAATATTGGAAAATTTTAGAACTGGTCATAAATAATATATGTGAAAAAATTTACTGTATAATATATAAATATAACATGCAAATGGCAGGACGACTCCACCTTCAGTTACCTCAAGCTTGAAAAGGACAAACTGCTTCTATTGTTTGCCCTATTAAGTTGGTGGATTAATTAGCCTACATATAGCTTCTGTTGACGTAAACTAATTAAATGACACGTCAAAATTAGAAAGCAACCAATATTTTAATTTAGGAAATTTAATTTAATGTTATATAATGGAAGTAAATGCTATCAGAAGAATAAAACCATGCTCCTTCCACAAGGCAACATTTTTCCAAAAGAGAGAATGAAGTACGCATGAGAAATAGCCAATAGTTATGTGATTTTCACCCAATCTCAGTATTAAATTTAGTCACCACTAGTACTAGCCAAAGCCACCTTTCAGAGATATCACATGCGAAAGGTCCTCTAGCTTTTTTTGCTTGAATTGCCTGCCCTGTAACAAAAGCCACATAGAGAGATTAGCTTTATTGCTTTGAAGAAGGATGTCGAATTTGGCATGTTGATAGATTTTTGATGGTGTGCATTTTAGTGTATTTATTGTAAATCTTAATCAAGATGTGTCTTGTCATGTGAGAATATTATTTGTAGCATTAGCAAATATCCAGTTAGCAGTTTGTTTGTTGGTAAAATTGTTAGATGGCCACCTTCATTGGTATAACTAAGTTACAAAGGTATTATTAGGGGTGACTGAATTGGAACCAAGTGCTGTCCTTTTCTTTTGTACCAATTGTTATCAGACCTGTTTTGTTTCTACAAGATGATAAAGGAGCTGTGGGATAAAGCTTAGTGAGCTCAAACAAAAGGTGAGTATGAATGAAAGTAACATTACTGACATACGAAGCTCTCTGATGCAAATAGAGGAACAATTATAGAGGATGCCTGAAGTATTGGAGATGTAATGTGGTAGATACACACAGACCACCACTGGTCAGGATACCTTGTCCTTATGGTGGTTTAGAAAGAAGGAATTCGACCAAAGTTCAGTTTAATAGCCTAAAGAGCATGGTTTCCAGAAAGTCTAGGGTCAAAATGATGACCAAAACATGTAATAAATGGAAGGTGACTTTAGAGTCACCACAATGAAGAAAAGCATTAAGGAGCTAAGAATGAAGAAGACGTCAATGCATGGAACCTCCTTGACCAATCACTAAGTTATAGAAGATGAATCCTTTTGAGGGAAAGGATCATCTGTGGGTGAGAGTAATTGCTACATGGCAAGAGCGTTAAATAGCAGCTACAAGAATAATTATTTTGAGCATAAGACTTTTCCTTCACCTTCTTACCAATATGTTTTTCTTTTGCAAGCTTAAAAGTTACAACAGTTGGTTCCCAGAAAAATGTTTATCAGTCATCAGGTCAATATGTATAGTATTATTTTGTCCTAAAGCAACAAGAAAAATGCTGTTGAACTTGTTGCAATTCGAATGAATTAAACCTAAGTAGCTAAAGTGCCTGGAAACAATTTTGTAGCAAAACTATGTTCTTTCCTAACAATTCTTATTGAGATTCAGAGAAATACATCTGAATTCCTTGTGCATTTCAAAATCAAGAATGAGGTGTATATACACGAGGGAGGAGCCTAGGTATTAACGGCTTATGCTTGGATCCTAACAAACAATATCCAATCCTATAATCATGACATAGATTACATTATTTATATTAGTGAAAGAATATTCTAATTTTTTTCACACCCCCTCAAGTTAGAGCATAGATTAATCTTGCCCAACTTGTTACTAAGATATTCAACATGAGTCCCATTAAGAGCTTTTGTAAACAGATCACCCAATTAATCTCTAGTTGTCAAATGTCTTGTAGAAATGAATTTCCCCTTAATCTTATCCCGAACAAAGTGACATTCAATCTTTATGTAAATGCTTGCCTTGAATTGCCTTGAAAATCTCAGTTTGTACTTGAGACCAATGAATTGTTTCTGGTTTTTCTCTGCTACTTTATCTGAAATGGAACTCAATTCTTCCATTCAATTTATTATCAAGTTGGTTATCCATGTTGTATCATCAAATGAATACTTGTTATTGTTATGAATTAATTGATTTGCACCCACTAATATGGTAATTTTTATGTGGTAAAACAGAAAGTTCTGATGGAAGATCACCGTCGGAAATTGGCATGAGTTGTATTGGAGTTTCAATTGGACAGCTTCTCTCCCATCCTGAACATCTAGTGCAAGAAATACAATACTTCCTATGTGAGTATGAGAACCTTGGGTTAATATTTGTTTCTTGAGCAAAACTAAATCATTGTTGTGATAATTATCTATATCTTGGAGATATGATCTCATATACCAGTATGCATTTTCTCATTATTCTGATGTGGTTTGAAAGAAGTCTATGGCGATAGTAATTCTTTCAATTTTGAATATGACAACTGAGACAAAATAATAAATTATCATTGCATTGTTCAAAGTCAGTTACTAAACTTACTTGAGTTTTTTTGTAGTTTGGGACTTTGGGTTGCCATTAATTAGTACTCGTTTAGAATGTGTTCTCACAAAGTTTACTTGTAACTGACACCCATCTCTCTAAATTTTGGGACAGAGGAATGTATGTCAGAAAGGTAAAGGATTGAGCATTGTAGATCATGTTGAGAAGCTTAAGTCGAACTCCTAATGGATTAAGACTTTGTCTTTGTCTGAAATTTGCATTTTTCTTAACTAGAGTATCACAGTTTATTTATTAGTCTAGGACTCTTGGTTATTCTTTATCACTGCGAACTGTTTATCTTGTAATTTTTAGAGTCCTATAAATAAGAAGACAGGAATTGTCGCATTCTGATAGCAAGAGTGAAACCTTTGGATTTGATACATTAGTACATATCAAGGTGTCCTTGATTTGAATTTCATATGACATGAGAACCTTGTTTGAGAGAGGAGTGGACCTTCAATATCTTATGAGGCTCCTCTGATGCACAGAAGAGAAAATGATCAGTTTGGTAAAGGGAATGGGGAAAAAAATGATTTGAAAGTAATTCTCATGCTTTTACTTTAAAAATTAACATTAGATACTATCAATATCAAGTTATGATTACTATAGCATAATAATAGTCATTGCTTGCAATTGATGAATCGATTCCCAAATGGGTCTATAGTTTTTAGAGCAAGAGCTCTAACCACTTCTTTTCCAAAGAAAGTTGCTCTGTCTTATGATGTGTCAGCATGTGCAATGCATTATGAAAATTAGACCTTCTTATTAAAGTTTGTTTTCTAATGGGAGGATTAGGCGTCATATATCATGGCTTAGCATAATTTCTTAGTGCTCAGAAAATGTGTTCTCTATCTGGAAAATGGGCATAACATATCTCATCCTAATCATTTGTAACGATCAAATTAAATTTTGTGATGCATATGGCATACCAATCTACTATCAGTATTTTAAATGTGACATCTGATTTAATAGTTAATCAAATGACATAAATGAGATATTTCTATTTGTAAAAATTGAGATGGAGCCACAAATTTATCATTATTTTAACGAGTTTTGAATCCCATTTGTTTATTATTTGGCGAAAGCCACATGCATATAAAGTTACCTCTCTTCTCTTATGGACTCGTTTTGCTTTCGAATGTAATGTTTGCATGACGTCCTCAAACTACATGTTATGCATATGCCAAATATCAATTTTAATTTTGTTACTACAATCACTTATCACGTTTTGTTTTCAGTATCAGAGAAACTCAAAGCCCTTATCATTGTTTCTGGATACTACAATGAGGAGAAGAACTTCAAGGTTTGAAACACTTTATACTGACTATCTCAGTCAATCTGACAATGTTCGTAGCACCAATTAAGTGGAAGCTAAATCATGCAAACAAATTAAACAAAAATTATTCTCTATAAGTATTTAATTCTTTCGAGTTTTAACCTAATGATGAGGATAAATACACAAGATTCAGGTCAGGCTTGAACATCTAGCAGTGGTCAAAACCCATCCAACATAAAGGCTAACTTTGGAAACGGCATAGTTTAGTATTGCTAAGAACTAAAACCGGATCTCTTTCTGTGAAACCTGTTAGATCATAGACTCCCGCATCAAGTTTACTCTGTTTTACTAAGTGTATATGGAGCATCTCTAACTTTTTTGATACAGTAACTTAGATATTGTCATCAAATTGTTCTACTGATTGATGATTGATGTTTTTCTATTGTCCGCCCTAATGATTATGCAATATTGTCTCCCATTTTGTGAGACATCAAACTAATCAACCTTTTGGCACATGTAACTGCGTGTTCAGAGAGAAATATTAGTTTCTGCTGAATCTGTGAAGCTACTAGAGAGCATGATCTTCTTCTTCGATTTCAATGCATCCCGGCTGCCACTTAAAAGTTTAAATATACCAGGTTAGTTTTGATTTTGGTGGGGAAAAACGAAAGCAAACAAAAGAAACAGGGGTCCGTTATGGCAATATAGACTACAGAAGTACATTTTACCATCCTGAACTAAGGCCTGAGCACAACTTTAACACTTCAACTTTTAAATGTAACAAAATACTTCTTCAGAAAAGATATGAAGCCCCCTCCCCCAGGGGTTCAAATGAGATTGAGAGGGGATGCTTTGTGGTTTTTCTGTTTTCTGTTACATTTTAAAATTAATATACTAAAGCTATAATCAAGCTTGAGTTCAGAGAGGTAAAATATATAATTTCCAAAATATTTTAGTTCAGAATATTTCCTTTCCATTTTTTCCATATAAAATACTCCTCCAGTCCTTAATATAGGACCTAATTGTTGAGTTGATTTTGGTTTTAAATATAAGACCTATTTCTTATATTATCAATTTTTTCTAGATTACCTTTATAAATACTCCCTCAACTATAATCAAGTAGAAGAGGAAGAGGAGATATTAAGAAAGATGATTATGGTGTTTTGGAAAAAACATGTGATATTTTTTATAATTAACTAACTTACTTAACTTCTTTAATCTAATCAAATTAGTTAAATAGATCTTATATTAAGGACCAGAGGAGTCTATTGTCAGTATGCTTTGTTTGTAACTCGCTTAGGTTTTACTTCTTCATGCCATGTTCTTGCAGGTCTGAACAAAGAAATGAAGGCTTTTGAGATTGACAAGATTACACCAAGGAAAACGGTAGAACATCTGATAGAAGAGTTTGTTGGGATAAGAAAAGCCTGAGGCAGGTTTCCGAACTAGAAATTTGAGTAAATTTGGTGACAATAAACTTATTTGAAGACAGGAAAATAGAGACAAATGGGTCCATGAATAGTAAGAAAAGATCATAGCAACCAACTTTCACTTCAAATGATCACACTTGCTGGTTTAGCATCTGTGATGATATTTCAAAGTCAGTACTGTATTTTGTAACAGAAGCCCAAGTTTGATATTCACTGATAAACTTAAAGAGAGTTTCTTGAATTTCCAAGGTGTTTGTTACAATCGAAGTTTATTCATTTATAAACAAGAATAATAACATCATATCTTTCACGATAGTTTGGACATATTGAGTACTTATTTCATTGATGAATTTTAAAGCAAGGATTTTTTTTTTTTTTACTCTTGAAAAAAGTAAAAATATTTGTCAGAAATGTTCTGAGTGGTGAAAATTCCTTCCACTTCTCATGGTGGGAGCATTTGCCTTATTCTGTTGTTGACAAGTTTCAGATTTGGCTCATTACGTTAGCAGAGAATCACCACTTCCTTTGGTTTACTGATTTGAAATTAAAAGGGAAATGCTCCTTCTCAGGGGCGGTTCTCTGATTTGGCGCCGATGTTAATGGAGAAGTAGAATCAATTGAAGGAGGGGTTCTTCTTCTCGGCGAACTGGTTCCGAAAGACGAGAGAATTAGGAGCTTTGATATCCATGGACATTTAACAGAAGTACTTGCAGTTTTTTTTCTTTTCTTTTTTTTGACCAGCACACTTGCAGGTTTTGCGGGATGGAGTATGAGGATTCATATAAAATTAGAGGCGCCTAATTCCACATCTGATTTTTTTTAGGGAAAATGACAATAAAATACCACCTGAATTTCAAAAAGACAAATAAGGCACCTGAATAAGCAAAATGACATATATGAGACTGGGTACCAATCTGGAATTCAGATTTTTGGCCAAAAGACCAAAATGCCCTGTCTGAAAGTGAGAGGAAGGAGAGAGGAAGACACTGATGAAATACGGGAAGGAGAGAGGAGGAAGATGCTGATGAAATCGAGAAGAAGAGAGGAAGGAGAGAGGAAGACGCTGATTTTCGATGGGTTCCCACAGCTTAAAATGTTATTGCCTAGCATTTCTTTAAAAAATTTTGGTTCTGTCTCTGTTCTTCGCATAAAACCATTTTCAGAGAATGTGAAGCTGTGGGAAAGATGAACCTGTGGGAAAGATGAAGCGAAAATAAGAAAACAATGGCAAGCAATTACATAACGTAACTGCTGTCATATGCCTGCTGGTTTTCGGTAAATCCCACTACGTGAATAGTAAATTTCACTATACATGTAGTTAATTATGAAAGTTAATAGTTCAATGTTTATTGTGACGTACTTCAAATGCACGTTCACTGAATGATTTATTTATGCTTATAAGTTGCCTTTCCGGTGAAAACAGGTTTACAAAACCCATTGAAGAAGTAGTCACTTTCACTATAAAAGTTGTAAATCCCAGTATATGTTTTGTAAAATTCAACGTGAAATTTTATTGGTTTTTACAAACAAGTTGTTTATCTCCTGAAAACATGTTGCAAAACCCATTAACAAAGTAGTCACTTTCACTACAAAAGTTGTAAATCACAATATATATTTTGTAAAATTCATAATTAACTACATGTATAGTGAAATTTACAACCACTATAGTGAAAATGACCATTTCTTAAATGGCTTTTGCAACCAGTTTTCAGGGGATGGGCAACTTGTTTCTAAAAACCAATAAAATTCCAGACTGAATTTTACAAAACACACAATGATATTTACAACTTTTATAGTGAAAATGACCACTTCTTAAATGGCTTTTGCAACCAGTTTTCAGGGGATGGGTAACTTGTTTCTAAAAACCAATAAAATTCCATACTGAATTTTACAAAACATAGAGTGATATTTACAACTTTTATAGTGAAAATTACCACTTCTTAAATAAGTTTTGCAACCTCTTTTCAGGGGATGAGCAACTTGTTTCTAAAAATCAATAAAATTTCACGCTGAATTTTACAAAACATACACTGGGATTTACAACTTTTATAGTGAAAATGACTACTTCTTAAATGGTTTTTGCAACCAGTTTTCAAGGGACGGGCAACTTGTTTGTAAAAACCAATAAAATTTCACGTTGAATTTTACAAAACATATACTGGGATTTACAACTTTTATAGTGAAAGTGACTACTTCTTCAATAGGTTTTGTAAACCTGTTTTCACCGGAAAGGCAACTTATAAGCATAAATAAATCATTCAGTGAACGTGCATTTGAAGTACGTTACAATAAACATTGAACTATTAACTTTCATAATTAACTACATGTATAGTGAAATTTACCATTCACGTAGTGGGATTTATCAAAAACCAGCAGGCATATGACAGCAGTTATGTTACGTAATTGCTTGCCATTGTTTTCTGATTTCCGCTTCGGTTCACTCCCTCTCTCACTACAAATCCTCTTTCCCACAACCAAAATCAACAATCTCTACAGAATGGTGATGCGAAGTAGTAAGATAATAGCATTTCCAACATTCTTCTTTCCTTCTTCCCGCATTTCATCAGCGTCGGTCTTCCTCTCTCCTTTCTCTCACTGCGTCGGTCTTCCCGCATTTCATCAGGGCATTTTGGTCTTTTGGCCGAAAATATGAATTCCAGATTGGTACCCAGTGCCCTATTTGTCATTTTGCTTATTCAGGTGCCTTATTTTTTTTGAAATTCAAGTGGTATTTTATTGTCATTTTCCCTTTTTTTAATTTCTAATTAATATAATAATATATTTTCAAAATGAAATAACACAAACATTATCAGAGCAAAATATTCAAGAAATATTATTTTTTATTTTTATGTTAAATTAATCTGTGTTAAAAAATATTTTTATTTTAAATTAATTTGACCTCCATGTCGAAGGAATAATGAGCTTGCTTTGTTGGGTAATTTTATAAATGGTAAAATAGTTTTAAAAAAAATAATTTAGGAGTGGAGGAGGAGTGGTGGCTCCCCTCCAAATTAAATATTTTTAGACCGGAGCCACATTTTTTTTTCTTTTTACTAATTTGCTCCTTATAATTTTTTTGATATTTTATTAATATCTATGAAAAAAATAAAAACAAACTTTTCACTAGGCAAATTAATTTAAAGTAAAAATAAAAATAAAAATTTCTTGACTATATTCACTCTCATGGACTTTATAATATTCTATTAATGCCATAAGAAAGACAAAAATGAACTCTTCACTCATTTTCGATACGAAGCGCAAATTAATTTAAAATAAAATTAAAATTTCTTGACTGTTTTGACCTTAGATTTTTCTGATATGTCATTTTCAAAATATATTATTATATTAATCAGAAATAAAAAATCATTGTATCAGTTTCTTAATACATATATTAAAAATAAGTTAGGATAAGAATGAATTTTAATAAATTATACAATTTGAATTAAGGTGTAAATCAATATATGTAAGAGTCGGATAATAAATTAATTATTATCATCCTTCCCTCTTTTTTTTTTTTTAATGATTAAAAATATCTCTCCTTCCCTTCAACAAAGCTAAATAAGATAAAACCCCCCCCCTCCAACTCTACCATCTCCATCCCCTCCTTTACTACCCAAATCTTCTCATAAATCAAGTACACTCTTATTCGGATAACATTTCATTTTTAATACTACTTTCTGAATCAAATAATTAATTTATGAATATTAAAAAATTAGTTAAATTAATTATTTATAATAATTAAATATTTTTTTAATTATTTGTAATAATTGAATGCTATCTTTCTTATAATATCCTTCTTAACTCTTTAAGATGTAAAATTATTATTGGGACTATTTTTAAAAAACTGAATAGACGTAAGAAACAAAATAGATTAGTGTCTTATACTTAAGATAAAAATTAATATAAAACTAGCTTTTGTATTTAATATCAAAGCTAGTCAATTAGTAAAATTACATCACAAACTCAGGACACTTAGAAGAAGATCAAAGGATCTAACACCAACTATTTGGCCGTGTGGTACTTATGTACTCTTTCTGTCTTTAATATAGAACCTCATTATTAAGTTGATTTTGATCCTAAATATAAAACATATTTATCATATTTATCAATTTTTCTTAAATTATTCCTACAGAAGTAGAAGAAGAAGAGAGGATATTAAGAAAAATAATTATGATGTTTTAAGAAAAACATGTCATATTTCTTATAATTAACTAACTTACCTAACTTTCTTAATATAATCAAATTAGTTAAATAGGTCTCATATTAAGGATTAAAAGATTATGTGTTAGTAGGGGGTGTGTTGTAATGCAAGTTCAAACCCGCTCCCTTACAATTTAAAAAGGCATCTGAAACCCCAAAAAACAAAAACAAAAAAAAATGTCAGGGTACTGCGCCCTGCCAAATAACACATACTGCCTTCAGCCCTTAACGTGAACTAGATGTTAAGTACCAAGGCAGGTGGTATATTGGTTTTTATTTCAAAAACAAAAAAACAGTAGAGTCTCCTCTCTCAACTGAAACCTCGTTATCTCAACTTCGAAGAGCCTCTCCAACTTCTTCTATTGCTTACTCACGCAGTCACACTCACGCCATCGACCCTCCATTCGATTCGCACCCTCAGACCCTTCGACCCGCTCCATTACTCACGCAAGTCACGGGGTCTTCGTCAGCGTCGTTCTGTTCAAGCTTTAAGCGTCCTCCTCCGACCCCGTCCATTGTTCTGATTTCAAGGTAGGGACTGAATGCTCTGCTCAGCATCCTCCCATATTTTCTATTATGCAGACGGGCATAGAAAGTTAGGGAAGTTGGGCTATTATGGTTTTTCCTTACTGGAAACCGAATTCTTAGTAGCTTTTAACTGTGTGATGCACCATGTCTGTTGGGGTTTGCTGTAAGTTATTATCTAAATGTAATTTTGATGTCTAAGATTCAGAGTTATTTATTTTCGAGTTCCTGTACAGCCTCGTTTTCTTTGAAGCTTCAAGATCAGATTGCCACTGTTCAATTATAGTAGAGCCATCGTCATTTTTTGGAGAAATGTCTGAGTTTGGCTCCTTATATATCATTATGCTGACTACCTAAGTTGTCGACTTTTGTTATGTATTACAATGATTATATTGTGTTAGGACTTGGTATTTGGAAAAGATGTAGTTACATTTGAACTTGTTCATGTTTATTTTCAAGTTATGTAAAAGTTTCATATTTATATATTATTAGATAGGTATGTACTACTATTTTTATTTAATTACTACCTCCGGTCCTAATTATAAGACCCAGTTGACTAATTTGAGGAGATTAAGGAAGTTAAGTTAGTTACTTGTAACAAATAAGTGTTGTCATTCCTAAAATATCCTTGCTAATTAAGTGTGTTGGTTAGAACTATCATTATTAGAAGGACTATTTTGGAAAAAAATACATAAATATGAGAGACAAAATGGATTGGGGTCTTATAATTAGGACCAAACTTAAAGTCAAACGGGGTCTTATATTAAGGACCGGAGGTAGTATTATGTCACCGATGCCAGATTCAGTTTATCATCCGGTCCGCCTTGTGAGTTGTGACTTGTGATTTAAATTCTTCTCAGCGTGGGCACTGGGTCGAGCCGTCAAGAGAGAACCAGAGGATTTGGTCTTGACGCAAATAGAATGGGGAGGCTATAGGGTGGTTCGAGGTTCATTGGTAGTGGTGGTTGCTGCTTGCTGGCGGCAGTGCTATAGTGCTTTCCGGCATTGTTACGCAGCCGAACCAAATAATGTAAGGTTTCCGGCCTTGATGCATAATTTTGCACTGACTTTTATACTACTACAAATCTAGGGAAACAGAAAGAAACACAGGAAAGAAGTAAGAAATGCATGGCAGATAGCAACATGGCTATGTACCAGATTGTTCACATCCCAGACGAGGAGCAGTATCCCCTTCACCAGCAACCCACTGGTCAGTCTATTAGAGTCCATTAAGTCTAACTGTTTTCTTTTTCCTTGTTGACTTATTACATGAACTCAATAGATATAAAAGAAATAGTGCTTTGTTTGTTGCTTTGTGTTTCTGTGTTCAGAGAAAGTCATTGCTTCAGTCATTGATCCAAAGCATGCCAACCACATTGTAAGGTCAGCTCCTCATCCTTTATTTATAATTTCCACTTTGTATCTGCAATTTGATGCTAAAATGTTGTTGATTTAAAAAATATTTTTACCTCTTTGCTGTTGAAACTTCTAACTTTCTCCTCCTTTCTATTTTAAACGAATTTTCAAGGCATGTGAAATAAAGTAACTCACACTCCGTCAATCATTTCTACTTTATGATTTCTCATACCAGCTAAACTTGTTTTAGGCCTTTTCATTTTGTTTGGTCACAATATTTGTATGGAGGCATAACCAGTGTTCGCATATCTTTGCTTTATGGGTTCTATGCTTTGTGAGCTAATCTGTACAAGTTATTTAAATTTGTTGTTAGGATTTTGAATCGAATAGAACCACTGGAAAATCTCCGGCATGTGAAGCGAGTTCAAAAGAAAATTCTTGAAGCAGGTTTGACGGTTTGTCATGTGTGCATTATGCTGGCATGTTATATTTGTTGGATCGTCCAACTGCATACCATATGTATAATTAAATTATGGAAGTTATAAAAATCAAGAGATGAGCGGTCTTATATTTTCATTTTTTGTGTTAGAAAAATTTATCTTGTGCAATTTTTTATTTTAACCTTTCAAGGTGAGTAAATTGTAATTATATTCATTTTTTTGAACTTGAAAATTAAAACTAAAGAACATATCGAGTTCCTTAAGCTTCTTATTGAACAGAGTGTGACATTGAATGTCGAAGGGACTGGGTGAGGGCTGGCTGTGGGATCTAGAATTTATGGAGGATTTTCAGATTGGTTATTATTGAGTTTCAAATTCGTTCCTCTTTTATAGGTTGGCTGAACATTAAGGAGCCTTGAGTCCTTAACACCATTGTTCTGGTTCTGTATATATGGGTATAATTTTCTTTGTAATGATTATCATGTACAAAGAATATCTTTGGACACTTATCTTCTTTGTTATACGCCTCTATTTCTCTTATCTTCTAGCACCATTCTTTTCATTAGCCCTTTGGATTTGACTTTAAACATGCTATGGTTCTGCTTCATAAGATTTATGCTCATCAGCTTTGGAGGGATTTCCCCATTGAAATGATTTCATTTAGCATCAAATTCCGTCCTGAATGGTATATCCGAGTTCAGGTCTTATATATGGTACTCACAGTCACTAGCTAATAAAGAAATTACATTTGAAGTTTCAATTGCTGTAGTTCTTTGGCCTTCCTGTATTGAACCTCTATACTAGTAATACTTCAACACATGTAGCACAGCAAGGGGAGAGTAGTTTTTTTTTTTTTTTAATTATTTATTTATTTTATTTTTTTTAACAAGTGCTTCTTGGCCAATGAAGTATATACTTGAGTTTGTTGCTAATTTCAATCATCATGTCCACTAATGAAATGCATAAATTAAGCTCACTCTATTAGCAATTACAGTGATGAACAATAGAGAGAAAATTTTCGTGAGTAATCTGCGTTCTGAAATAGCTGGGTGGTTAAACAACCTGTATTCATTGACGAAATCATACTATCAAACTTTATAGATGATACAAGGAAAGAACACTAATGAATGTAGAAGAAAGCATGGTTTTAAAAGCATAAATCTATCTTGTACGTCTTTCAGATAGTGGAAGAGAGAAAGAGGAAAGAAAAGGAGAGAAGGAAAGAGAATTTTTTTTTTTTTGGGGGGGGGGTGGGGGAGATTAAACTTAATAGTACTCTGATTATTCAACAAAATGTAATCCTCAGAGTACATTTAGTCTCCTTTATATGGGAGTCACCGTCTAACCTCCCTCAACTAGCTAACGGCTGCTATTATTTATTCCCCTAAGTAACTATTAATAACTATAACTAACCATTATCATCTAATATATTAATTTCAATTACACATCAGTTTTTGGTAAATATTGCTGCTTCAACACTGGTATAAATGTACATGGGTCTCATTCTTTGTCATTATGACTTGTGGTTGAAATACCTAGTCATTTTTTGGTGACAATGGAAATATTTGGCAGGACAAATACAGTTATCTGTGATCCTGTGTCTAGCATCTGATGGTGACAACCAGTTGGATAGTGTCCCGCCTCATCTGCAGGGGTTGATTAGTTCCTATCAATTGAGTCCCTTTATCGCAAAAGTGAGTCTTCTTAATTTTCTCTCCTTTTTCATTATGTGGTGCTTTTTTCTGATTATTGGAAATGTAGAAGATGAAAATATGTCATGAAAGTTGAAAATATTGATTTTGAAGTTTGAACCTACTCATTACTTGTGAGTTTATCCATGCACTGATTGAAACTGCTAACTGGCATATAACAAATGTGCTATAATTATTTATGTCAACTGCTTAATGGTGTGGTGCATTAGCTAGGAGAATTTGTGAGGTAAAGGGACTCCAGTACTGGTTATTCATGCATTGAATTGAATCTAATTATTTTTAGGTTTGCAAATATGCCGCAACATCAAAAGAAGAGTGGCAAGAGCAATGCAAATTTTGGCCAACATCATATCATCCCAGGACCTAGTAAGCTTTCTATTTATTCTAGATATATTGTCTGTAATTGTGGCATTGTTGCTGCCATTAGAAGAATAGCTGACTATGGTTCTGGTTTTGGCTTTGCTTTCTTACTCAAACTACAGTAACATCGATGGCATTACTGGATTCAACGAGGAAGACTCCCAGTTAATTTTCAAGTTCATGCAATCAGCTGTTGAGTTGACAACATCAGAGGCTGGGTTGGTATGCAATCAGCTTCTTACACCTGATATATATGATGCACGTGACATCCTCAAAAATATAATAATATTATCAATTTTAAAATAATTGTATATAACTGTTATGAGATATTTTGAATATATTAAATGAATAATAATGTTCAGGCAAATCAGGTTTTTTTATAGATTTTGGGATATGACGATTTTATAAATAGATTTTAGGAACTAGATTGTAATGAGGTAGATCTTATAAATTAGATTTTATTATGTTATAAACAAAAAACAATAATATATAAAATTGCCGATGGGTAATAGGATGATAAATGTTGTAATCTTAGGAACATATGTTCTATAAACAAAATATGGATACACACAAACACATATGTTGTTATATAAATATGTGCCTGGGTATATATTGTGGTGAGATGTAATGATAGAAAGCTGAGGATAGAAAAAATTAAGCTCTTTGAAATATACATAAATATTAAATGCTATAGCTTTGTAAATGAGTTGTTCTAGTTAGGTTTCTCCTCGCAAATATATCTTCTACAGTTTCTTGATGTCCCTTTGAATGAAACCAACTGTAGATCAACGAAGGCCTTTTACTACTGTGTCCAATGTTCAACTGAAGCAGGAACTCATTTGTATAAGAGCGGACGGAGCAATGATCTCATTGATTGTACTTGCTAACCTGCAGGTAGTCAATGCTGCAGTGATAGTGGATCCTTCAACTAAACAGGTGATTTCAAGTGCTTGTGACGAGGTTTTTGTTTCCAACACTTGCAAAGACAGTTGCAGCACTGACTCTTGCTGCTTAAAAACACCAGAATTCTTTAGTTGCCATCCCATTAGCTAATAAAGTAGGAGCCAATGACTCGTTGCCTTCAAACAAGCCATCCAATCAACTCAGACAACCTCATGCAGATGTGGCTTGCTTATACCCTTGGCGTTGGGCTGAGCAAAAGTCACATACGCAGAATTATAAGTGGCACCCCCTACGGCACGCTGCTATGGTAGCTATAGAATCTTCTGCCGCCAGGGATAGATGCTGTTTTCCTTCTGTTAGCGACATTGATGAAAAATGTTTGGAATTGGATCATGAAAAAACTTCTTGGATGGCCTCTCCTCCAAAGAGACAGAGAACTATTCCTGAACATGTAAGTTTTTCCTAAAGTTCTGATATTAGGCATATTAACAGAACCGGGTTTGATGGATACTATTTTTTAGTTGTCTGGAGTCCTCATGTTTATGAAACACGTATCTCTTGCTGGCTGTGTTATCAAGGTCATTCGACTCTATGGTTTGATAATTTGTGGCTAAAATAACAGATGCAATACAGAAACAAAAATATGTGGGTGCACATCAATTATCTGGCGTACATTGAAAATTGAGCATGAGAAGATTAATTTGTGGAAAATTTTATATCATCATTGGCTTATGGTGTTTCAGGTTGAGGATGATGGAAAACTAAATGCTGTTAGTCAGAGTTCTGATCAAGTGTCAGCACGACCTTACTTATGCACTGGTTATGACATCTTTCTTGTTTGGGAACCGTGCACAATGTAAGATTGTATGCAAAATACTTCTCTGATTTTGATGCATTCTTATTTCTCTTGTGGTCCTTTAGATTTTTTTGCTTGACTGGTAATAAAAACAGATATTTGTTGTTGAGTAATGATAATAGAGACTACAATATGTAATGAATTCTCTCTCTCTTTCCAGTGTCAACCAACCAGATTAGGATTTAGAAGTTAATGGCCAAACTTTTGATTCTCCTTATCCTCTCAAAACTCCATAAAATCAAAACCTCTTCAAACCTGGTCTTAATTAATTGGAGCATTGAAATGACCCTAATAGATTCCCCCCCCCCCCCTGTGCTTCTTCTATTGTACCTCTCTCTGAGATATTATTGCCTTCCACTTTGATGTCAGGTGTGCTATGGCGCTCGTCCATCAGAGAATCAGAAGGATATTTTATGCTTTTCCAAACCCTCATGCCGGGGCCTTGGGCAGTGTTCACAGATTACAGGGAGAGAAAAGCTTGAATCATCGTTATGCTGTTTTCAGAGTTTTGTTGCCTGAGGAAGTCCTCCATAAACGTCATGCTGAAGCTGCAGAAACCGTTGCAGCCAGTACTGCTTAAGCAGCACCTGTGAGGTCTTAGGAGGATGGTGAACGATTATAACTGGAGACAGTATTAACAAGAGAATGTTGAATGTTGTTAGCTTAGCTAAAATCATTGTGAACTGTTATATTATTAACTTAAATTAGAAGAGTTGTTATCAATCGAATCATTGATTTGTACTCCATCCAATCCTGTATATTAAATCATATAAATTGCATTTAACTAATTCATCAAAGCCAAGATAAATTAGTTAAAAGCATTTTTGTTTTTATCCCCAATAAATGCTACATCCAATCCTTAATATAAAAATGAGTTAAGGAATTAGATTTGATCCTAAACATAATATCTCAATTTTTTTGGTCTTACATTTTTTTCAAAGTATTCCGATTGATTTTATGAGATTTTGATCAATGTGTAATTATAATACATATAATTAAAGATGGTAATATAGGAAAGTTAATATATATTTATTACAAATAATTAACTTAACTAATTTTTTAATTTTTTTTCCAATTAGTTATTTATTTTTTATATTAAGGATTGGATATAGTACTATTTTTAAATACTTGCATATTATTGGAATATGGTTAGAGGGTTACTTAGGGAATAACAAATCAAAAGATGAGAAATGACTTGTATTAAATAATTAGTGAAAAGTTGAAGGCAATTTGCGCAATATGTGAGGATGCTTGGCCTTGCAAAGATCCCAAGTGAGAATTAGCTTGGTGCTAACTGAAGCCCAAGGAATCAAAAGCTTTTTGATGGCTCGCCTTCAAGATAACGCCTTTTGACTAATCAATAAACATAGCAAAGACACAACGAATAGATCTTCCTACATTGTTTGTAAACATAAGTTGGATTACTCGAACAATGTGCTCGGTGTTCTTAGTATCTCCTTGCTAAGTGGTGGCTCTTGTTCCTACCTGATCCAATGCCAGCCTCATTCTTCACGAAACCTTTGGAAAAGTGAATCCTACACTAAGAAGCTGCAATTAGTGAATCATTTTTAGGATTATGTGTTGGACACTCTGGAGGTCTTGGAAACAAGGTATTTCCAAAAAATCACACTTTCATTCTTTAAAATTGCATGCTCTGTTAGAGGGCCATTTAATCACTCCAAATGAATTGTTAATATGCTCAAGACTGATGTTGCCCCAAAAGGTTCAAAATATAACAATGTTGCCCAACCTAATTTATTTTGAAAAAAAAAAACTAATATTGATCGTCAAAATATTAATATTGACTAAGAACATTTTTAACAGTATAAAACAATGTTACTACATTTTGAAACTTTCGGAAAAACATTGAACCAAAAAACTTCCGAGACAACATTGCTCTCAAGTGAAATTTTTCAAAACAAATTTGTATATAAACTCTATGAATCTGAAAACAAACCTCTTTAATCTCATGTTGAATATTTTACCATTGAAAACTTTGAAAATTTATGTTATATAGGAATACAAGGCAAATTCAGAACAAGATAGGTCAAGTATCCTATCATGACCTCACCCCAAAACTGAATTATGAACCCGTTTGGTACGAAAAGGGAAGGGAAAAAGAAAGAAAAATGTACCTTTAACTTCAAAAGTCCAAAAACGTCCACCCAATTCCACAAATCCCATTTTGGTACCATGAGACCAAATTGGGATTATTATGTGAAAGGAAAAGACCACATTGCCCTTCATTTTAAATATTATTTTTAAAATATCACAACCCCTACTGGCCAGTCGGTCACCGGACCTCCGGCGGCGGCAGTCACCGGAGCTCCAGCGACCAGCCGACAATTGGTCACCGGAGCTTCGTCGGTCGGAAATTTTTTTTTTTGAAAATTTTTACAACTTCAATATAACGGTTAACAACTTTTGTAATGCTATTAACAACTTCAGTATAGCAATTAACAACATCTTTTCTGGGAAATTCAACAAACTCCGGCGACCGAAAACAATTATTTTGAAAATTTTTACAACTTCAATATAACTGTTAACAACTTTTGTAATGTCATTTACAACTTCAATATAGCAATTAACAACAGGTTTTCTGGGAAATTCAATAAACTCCGGCGACCGGAAACAATTTTTTTGAAAATTTTTACAACTTCAATATAACGGTTAACAACTTTTGTACTGCTATTAACAACTTCAGTATAGCAATTAACAACAGCTTTTCTGGGAAATTCAACAAACTCCAGCGACCGAAAACAATTTTTTTGAAAATTTTTACAACTTCAGTATAACGGTTAATAACTTTTGTAACCCTATTAACAACTTTAGTATAGCGGTTAACAACAGGTTTTTGAGTTATATAATTTTTCAAAAAAATCTGTTGTTAACCACTATACTGAAGTTGTTAATAGGGTTACAAAAGTTGTTAACCGCTATAATGAAGTTGTAAAAATTTTCAAAAAAATTATTTCCAGTCGCCGGAGTTTATTGAATTTCCCAGAAAACTTGTTGTTAATTGCTATATTGAAATTGTTAATAGCATTATAAAAGTTGCTAACCGTTATATTGAAGTTGTAAAAATTTTCAACTTCAGTATAATGTTAACAATTATGTTTTTTTGAAAATTTTTACAACTCCAATATAACGGTTAACAACTTTGATATAGCAGTTAACAACAAGTTTTTAAATTCAAAAAGTGACATTTTTATAACTTCAGTAATGCCTTTAACAAACTCAAAACCTGTTGTTAACTGCTATACTGAAGTGTTAATAGGGTTACAAAAGTTGTTAACCGTTATATTGAAGTTGTAAAAATTTTCAAAAAAATTATTTTCGGTCGCCAGAGTTTGTTGAATTTCCCAGAAAACTTGTTGTTAATTGCTATATTGAAGTTGTTAATAGCATTATAAAAGTTGTTAACCGTTATATTAAAGTTAAAAAATTTTCAATTTCAGTATAACGTTAACAATTATGTTTTTTTGAAAATTTTTACAACTCCAATATAACGGTTAACAACTTTGATATAGCAGTTAACAACAAGTTTTTAAATTCAAAAAGTGACATTTTTATAACTTCAGTAATGCCTTTAACAAACTCAAAAACCTGTTGTTAACCGCTATACTGAAATTGTTAATAAGGTTACAAAAGTTATTAACCGCTATATTAAAGTTGTAAAAATTTTCAAAAAAATTATTTCCGATCGCTGGAGTTTGTTGAATTTCCCAGAAAACTTGTTAATTGCTATATTGAAGTTGTTAATAGCATTATAAAAGTTGTTAACCGTTATATTGAATTGTAAAAATTTTCAACTTCATATAACGTTGACAATTACGTTTTTTTGAAAATTTTTACAACTCCAATATAACGGTTAATAATTTTGATATAGCAGTTAACAACAAGTTTTTCGAAAAATTCAAAAAGTGGCTTTTTTATAACTTCAGTAATGCCTTTAACAAACTCAAAAACCTGTTGTTAACCACTATACTGAAGTTGTTAATAGGCTTACAAAAATTGTTAACCATTATATTGAAGTTGTAAAAATTTTCAAAAAAATTGTTTTCGGTCGCCTGAGTTTGTTGTTGTTAATTGCTATATTGAAATTGTTAATAGCAGTACAAAAGTTGTTAACCGTTATATTGAAGTTGTAAAAATTTTCAAAAAAATTATTTCCGGTCGCCGGAGTTTATTAAATTTCCCAGAAAACCTGTTGTTAATTGCTATATTGAAGTTGTGAATGGCATTACAAAAGTTGTTAACGGTTATATTGAAGTTGTAAAAATTTTCAAAATAATTGTTTCCGGTCGCCGGAGTTTGTTGAATTTCCCAGAAAAGCTATTGTTAATTGCTATACTGAAGTTGTTAATAGCATTACAAAAGTTGTTAACCGTTATATTGAAGTTGTAAAAATTTTCAAAAAAAAAATTCCAACCAACGGAGCTCCGGTGACCGCCGCCGCCAGAGGTCCGGTGACCGGCCGGCCAGTAAGGGCTGTGATATTTTAAAAATAATATTTAAAATGAAGGGCAATGTGATCTTTTCCTTTCACATAATAATCCCAATTTGGTCTCATGGTACCAAAATGGGATTTGTGGAATTGGACGGACCTTTTGGGGATTATGGAGTTAAAGTTGTATTTTTCTGTCTTTTTTCCAAAAGGGAATGAAAGGGGGGATAAAAATGAAAAAAAAAAAAAAAAACTCTCAAAAACACAAGAAGCTCTCTTTTCAAAGGGGAAAAAAATTGTCATCTATCAAACACAATAAAAATACTTCCTCTCAAATTTTTCCTACCACAAATCCCTTTCTCATAAACCAAACATTGCCTATAAAGATTGGAGTTTCCTTGAACCCATTCAAACCTCAGTCGAACAATAAGTTATCCAATCCAAATGGAACACGAAAAGTCAGTTAATGATGTTCAAATAGTCATCCCTACCAACTAAATTCTAGGTTCAGTCAATGTTCAGTAAAAGCTAAGCTCATATAGAATTACGAGACAACCTAATGCCACTGAAAAAGTTCAGCTCAAGTTAGCCATAAATTTCAGTAAAAAGCCACACAAGCAAGTTGATCCTCTTTCTAAGTATATACTTAAACAAGCATTACAAATTAGCAGCATATCAGGAAAAGTTGCATCAGATCAATAATCCAACCTTTATATAGATCTCAATTTCCAGGCATCATATGTTATTAGCTGTGGTACTTGATCTCATGCAGCCATTTGCTATTCCTAAGATAATCATTATTAGTGGCTTCTTTATTTCCATACATATGGACATAGATATCAGCATCAACTGCAAATTTTAAATAGCAACCCTGAATTATAAAGCAGAATGATACCGTCAATTGGGAAAAGATTATGCAATTTCAGAGCTCCTAGGCTGATACAAAGCAGATGTGTTAACTGAATAGCATCCATCTTGTAAACTGAATGGAGAAGTTGCTTGTATGATGGATTGATGATTGATCATTATACTATTAATGCCACTTCCACAAATGTTACAGCAGTATTTCAATATCCAATTCTCTGATGGAATCCAAATCAAACCTAGAGAACCCACCTTAAAGACTGACTTCTAAGGAAGCAGAACCATGCCATTTAAATACTACAAGAATTACTTGTGGCTACTTGTGAAACTCCATCATATCATCATTATGGAAGAGCCAATGTCATCAACAATTGCACTCTACAATGCTTACTCCGGCCACCTGATTGCACCCTATGTAGATAGTCCTTTCCATGGAAGTCGCTTTGATATAAATTGATGGAGGCCTAAGTAAGAATAGGAAAGCCACCTATAAAAAGCTTGTAAGAGGAAAGAACCATGTCACTTGGGTACTACAAGAATTACTTGTGGACTTGTGGCTACCCAACGAAGAACTCCATCAGTCTTCCGTGTCTGTTCATAACTTTATGCATATTTCTTTCATAGAAAGTTGATATAATACCAAATTTATCGGTTCAAATAAAATTTGTCTCGGCGTATTAACTTCCAAGAGAAAATGAGTGCAGATATATCATGAGCGTTTGAAAGATAGATGTCTCAATTGTTAGTCCTTGAATCTTGTCCCACACAATTCTTTCCTCGAATAATTTTGGCTCTCTGCTTGTTAGTTCCTCTCGTAGGATAGAACAGGGAAATTTACATGCTCTAAAGACAAACCAATAGCTAGTAAGAAATGCAGGAACTGAATCATGTAAAGGTGTACAGGGACAAATACTTGAACTATGTCTTTGAAGGACCAAAATATACGCCATCTATAAATAACCTAAAGCACGAGTATCTGACTCTTCGTTGGCTGATACCAGACATTACACCAGAGCTCCTATGAATAGAACATTCAATAATTTTTGGCTTATAGCTTAATTCCAGATTCTCCATGAAAACTACTTTCCTGAAATATAATTAGGGATCTAGAAGCTTGCTTCAAATTCTAACTAACAGTTTTCTGCTTTCTACCCTCAACAACTATGAAAATTAACTAAAAAATGTTAAAACAAAGTATTCAAGCAGAGAAGGTAATAAACAGGCCTGAAGAATTTCGGTGCTATAATCACTACTGAACATATTGCAAAAGGATAAAAATTCTTCAGGCATCATCTCCTTACGATCATACCATTACCCAAAGCAGGACTATAGAGAAAAGTGGATCAAGAACCACATGATTTCTCCCAACATTCACATATAATAAATACAAATGTGTTAAAATAAAGAAACTGTACAATAGACATAATGCCTTAAAATGGGCGACTGAATGGACATGCCTATAAGTGCTGTGCCTCAGCGACAAGATCAATGTGTCACCTCCTTCTACATGCTCCACAATGAAACTTATTTCTATCACAGATCACCGCATGTAGGGAATTTCAAGTTTCAGCTTGAATAGCAAGTGAAATCCAAAAATAATATTGGACCGACTGAACATTTAGCGGATGCAGGAAATGCCACCACATACTATTAACCATATGACAAACAATATTAAACAGACAGCTGCATCAATTGCTAAAACAATGCGTACTTGGCGCCACCATTTCTTGCGGATGCTTTGAGGACCTGATCTCATCCTCATTGAACCCAAATCTTTTTGCAAAGAGAATGAAGCACCTGGACCACCTTGGCTATTAGAGTCCATATTTCCTGAATCAGCCTTTATTCCCCTATCCGTAGATTTCCGATGCTCCTCCACCTCAACATCTCGCATTGCAATCACATGATCTTTTGCTTTCTTCTTATCTTGCTTGTTAGATTTTCCCAACAAAGGGGCTTTTGTTGAGCTTGCACCTTCAACCTGTCCATTTAAATTACTTGGTGATGGAGACAGACCCACCTGAAAAGACGAAGCTTCATCCCTCCAATTACTACTATTATCTGACACACTCTCTAATGAAGTGATTAGGCGGCGGATGATAGGAACTAATTTTTCCTGAATGTAAATAGAATTCATATTTGACAAACTTCCTCTTGAACCCTTTTTGGCTAAATTTCTGAACTCATCTCTAACATGCTCCAAAAAGCGAAGAACTCCAGAGTTACCAAGACTTTCATCAACAATTGTGAAGTAAGTATAACCATCTTCCATCAAAAACCCATAAGTCCTTTTACCTATTGTCTCAAAATACCACCTGTGGAAAGAAGGAGCCTTCTCCAAGCACAGGGCTGCAATATTCTCAATTTCATGGTCTCCGCCACTATATGCATATAGAATGCGGTTACCCTTAGAAACACAACAATAGTAAACTTTATTTTGAATTGAATCCATAGCCAGAATATGATCACAGTGGAATCCACTCAGATGCCAGGACCAATAATCAAATATGCTGCTTCTCTCTTAATGGATCTTGAATTGATATGATAGCCCTTTATCATCTAAGCTGAAATCTTGAGGACCGCTATCAAGAACCTAACAAATCAAGATTTGGCAAAAGAAGAACCCAATAAGCTCCTCAAGGAAAGAGGCAAAAACCAAGCAAAGTGCAAGAAATTCGTCAGCTATAAATTCAAAGGCCTCCATGAAATACCAACGCAGACATTCAGCTAAGTATTGAAAATCAAGAAGCAAGTCCATCATGCTAGCTACCAATGCCGTTCGTTCTGTGATTCAAATAATAATTGCAGCTAATCAACAATAATAAACAATATACACATATAAACCATGGTCAGCTTCATTAGATCTTTAAGCTGACACTAGAAAAGGATGTTGACACCGCTCGGATCAGAAAGCTTTCAGCAAGAATTATTTAAAATACATAACTTCTTCACCAAAAGATCATTTCACTTTTATGGTCAAACGAAAACCCAGAAGCTCAGTTCGATCGATTTGTGAAATCAAAAGCAAAATAATCAATTTTCCAAATTTAAATATAAACCCATTTGGCTTTCGGGGGTAAATTCTTCGAAGTGCTTGTTATTTTCAAATTCCTACTCTTTTGGCAATATTCCCAGCAAGAAAGCAGATCGTGGAGCAGCATACCTGATAACTGTGTTCTCCAGAAGATTGATTCATGGATTTATGTAGACAGAGAAGCTTCGGAGGAGAAAGCAGGAAGAACAATATCAGGAAAATTTATGAAGAAGTGCAAAAGCGAAAAACCCATGAACCCAAGAAAAGAGCACAAGCCGCGTAACATGGTTCATGTCTTTTACCTGCAAGCATTGCGTTTTTGAGTTTTTGACTCACTCGACTTTCTTTGATATTTATCGCTTATTCCTGTGAGCTATGAGATCGTTTGAAACTTGCAGAGGAAAAAATGATGGGGGGACGATTGTGTTTTACTTTAACGCATTGATTAGATTAGATAAATTAAGATTCAATGAGTTCTGACCAAGTCAAGCAAAGAATAAATTGAAGAATTCAAAAAAGAATATCTTCTTAATTTTTTGGCACAACAAGACAAAGAATATCAAGTTGCATATTTGTTTAATTTTTTTTTTTGGAATGAAATTTTATCATTTATAATTTACATGCGAAGATTAATTATTTACAGTATTTTTTTTTAGTAATAATTAGTTATATTCTTAGATTACAAAAAAGATAAAATTACAAACATAAAAGTTCGAAAATAATAAATATTCTTTCAATTTTAAATATAAGACCTATTTTATAGTATAATATACACTGTAAAATAGGTTTCACACTTAAAATTCGAAGAGTACCAAAAAGGACACTAAGGGTCCGTTTGGATCAGCGATTGAAAAAGTAGCTTATTGAAAAAGTAGCTTATGAAAAAGTGAGATTGGTAAAAGTTAAATTGGATGAGCTGAATTGTGTTTGGATTGAAGTTTAGAAAAGCTAGTTTGTAAAAGTGAGATTGGTAAAAACTTGTTTGGATTATAGTTAAGTAAAAGTAAGTTTGGTTGTAAAATGAACAAAATGAGTATGAGTTCTAATACGTAATGGAACATGATAAAAAAATAATTTCATATAATATAATAAAATTAAAATAATTTATTATGAAGAAGTCAATTTTAATGAGTGAATTAAATTTTAAAATTTTGAAGAAATTATAAAAAATATTTTAAATATAAAGTGAAACATGATAAAAAAAAGGTTTCGGAACTTGAATATTTCCTTATAAGGTTATGAATGACTATTATTGCACAAACCATGTATACTATATACACTTGTATTTGGAAGTCGTAACTAAGCCTATTTCGTAAGATTTAAAATGAACAATAATGAAGTGATAATTAATTTAATTAATTTTTTTTAAATATTCACATATTAATTATTTAGTTCTTATATTAATAATTAGTGTATATATATTATATTAATATGAAAATTTCGATGCTTATAGTTTGTACTAGAAAGAATATAAGTCTTAAGTTTGAATATAATATAGTGTAATATGATTTAAGATAAATTCTTTTAAAGGCATGGGCTCCGACATTTTTTTTTAAAAATCTTCTCTCTCTACTTTTCCAAAAGTCATAAGCTTCAAAAAGTAGCTTATGGTTTATGATGGCTTTTCATCCAAAAGCTCAATTGCTCCAACGCCATCACAAACACGCCAATTTTTATCCCACCTACACAATCGTACGTTTTGGCTCAATAAGCTACTTTTCTCCCATTGAAACGCTGAAACAAACAGGCCCTAAGACTTGGTAATGATCAAAAGGGGAAAGAAAACCCTAAAAATGACATCTTGAAATTAAAGCAAAATCATAGAAATGCCTTTTAATATTTTGACCAAGTGGTGAAGATAGGATTTGATTACACAGCCATTTGCATGCAAGAATTAAGGTAACCATTAAGCTACCAACTTTTATTATTGTGATACAAAAACTTATATAAGTTAACTCTTATGTTTTGATAGCAAGTAATTCACAAATTTTATGCAAATATTGACTATATTTCTTGCGGGACTAACAATTTTCGCCTAACAAAGTAACTGAGTCACTCTTTTAGGTTATTCAAAAATTTTCTATAGGTATTGATTATATTTCATCAACTATCAATAACTTTCGTTGAACAAGTATAAAGTCATTCATTCATGTCATTCGCAATTTGTGCACAAATATTTACTACATTTCATGAACTTATTAACAACTTTCATCAATATAATGTAATAAATACTAAAAATCAAAGTCAAGCTAAGCCATTTCTAGTCCTATTGTGGCCTTTCACTTAATTTAGTATTCTATGAATAGTACCGGCCATGTGAATTTTTTCTTTTGTGTGATGAAATGAATGGGTCTAGGGTTACATTGCAAAGCTGTGATCTCTTTTCCCTTGGAGCATGTAAGTAGTACTATCCTCATATGTAGACTTGATTTTTACTCAATCACTCACATTACTCACATGATGTGGATCGCACACGAGTTGAGAAATGGCAGTACAGCAATCTTGTGATTGGGTATTGATGGAAAAAGTGACAAGAAATATCGAGGATGGTGTGAAATCAGATTCTGCATTGAGAGCAAAAATGCTTGCTATTCAGGAAGCAACAGTCAACACAACTAAATTTGTGTTTCGCATCTTTAATTATTAAATTTAGGAGCTTGTACTCCTGTGACTTTATAAAATTCCAATGAAGTTGAATGAAGAACTCTAGTTATTTTTTTGTTTATAGCTAATTAAGTTGGATCTTTTGGTTTCTTTGTATAAAGTTACAGTTCATATTGAATGTCTTCATCACTATGTATTTGACGTGGAATGAACATTTTGTAAATTATTTGAGCAATATATATGAACAACCAAAGCGTTCAGGTTCTAAGCACTTAAGTTTGACTGCTCAAATTTAAATTAATGTTTTAAAGTGATGGAGATTGTAATCAATTGGGATAATTGACTACACTAAAGTGAATTCTTCTCGTACATCATACCAGGGAGTAAATGCCAGTTTAATAACATGACCACTCTTTTAGGTTGTTCACAATTTTTGTATAGGTATTGATTAACTATTAACACTACAAAAAAATGGGGAATTAGTGATGAAATTTGACAACGGAATTTTATTCTATTGCTAATCCATCACAAATTCCATCACTAAAATTAGTGACGGAATTTAGTGATAAGAAATTTAGTGACGGATTATTGACAAATTTTATTTCGTCAATGGATTAGTGATAAAATTTTATTCGGTCACTAAATTTCATTACAGATCCATTGCTAATTCTATTACATAAGGATTAGTAATAGAAATTAGTGACAGAATTGTTATGTCACCAACTCACATCACATCACAAAACATTTTGTGACGAAGATAGTGACGAAATTTTTTAGTCACTAATTTTCGTTGCAATTCCATCAATAATCTGTGACCAAAAAATATAAAATAAATGTACAACAATTATTTTTTAATATTTATTATTAAAATAAAAATATAATATATATATCATAATTTTTAAATGATTTATTATATAAAAATAAAAATAAAAATATTATAAATGAAAATGAAAATAAAAATGTATGATATACTTATTGTTTTGTTAAATATTTGAATAAAAACATCAATTATTAGAAATTTTTTTACTAAAATAGAAAAGCTAAATTGAAATAAATAATAATATATTAAATTATATATAATATTTATTATATATATTTGTATTTGTTATTAGAAAGATTATATATATCTATGTTTGCGTAAAAATTTCGTTGATATTTTCAGTTTTACTAGCAAAAGTTTCAGCATGCATGCACGAGGTTTTAGATTCGAACCAATACTCCTTTACAATGATAAACACGTGGCGATGACGTGGATAAGGGGATGGCATGGCTTCATGGGAGGGTGAGGAGGGGTGAGGTGGTAGCCAGTGATGAGGTGGCAGTTCAGAATCATAGACACGTGGCGATCACGTGAACAAAAGGATAATGTAACTTCATGGGAGGGAGAAGAGGAGGTAAGGTGATAGGTAGTGATGACATGGCAGCTCACAATGATGAACGTGGACGAGGGGATGACATGGTGACATGGGAGAGAGAGGAGGAGGCGAGGTGGCAATCATTGACATGACATGTGAAGGCGATCAGCAATTGCCCTGTGATATTTTAAATTTACAAAATAAAAAAAATTTAGCAACGAATTTGTGACGAATTAGTAATGAATTAATAAAATTAGTGACGGAAAAAATTCCGTCACTAACTAAATTCTATTGCTAATTTTGATTAGTGACGAAAATTTTATTGTTAATTTGCTGGTTTTTTTTTTTTTTTTTTACTATGACAACTTTCATCTAGTAGGTAATAAGACTACTATTTCAGATCGTTCGCAACTTATATATTGGTATTTACTACACTTTATCAGCTACACTTTCGGATCATTTACAACTTATATATATATATATATATATATATATGTATGTATGTATATGTATTGAAGATATTTCATAAACTAGTTAACTTTCATCTTCATTTGCCTTGGAATCTCAATCTATGCACAAGGTCCTCAAAGAAGACCCTCTCCTCATCCACATCAACAAAATGATTCTTTTTCTATTGAGAAACCCTTTTAAGTTGAATTCCTAACAGATTTATTAATGTTTTATCAGATTTTAAACTCACCATTATATGAAGTCCAGGTTATATCATTGTTTATAGTTATTAACATTCTCTGGCCTCAAATATTTAAACCCAAGAGGAAATGGGTTGCCATCATGGGTCCAAGCCTTCTCATTCACTGTAATTCTTTTTGTACTGAGCACACTTGTCTCCTGTTCATCTAACAATTTGGGAATTTTGGTATCTCAGAGAAATATGCACATGTATTTCCAAAAGGTTCTTTATCTGATAGGTAAGCACTAAGCATATTTGTCCTAGTTTGGAATATTATAACTTTGAATTCCTCGTTGATATGTTAATATTCATTTGTCCAAAAACAAATGAACTGCATGTTCCCACAGTTCTTGTCTTGCTTTTTCAGTATCAGCCTTTGGACTTGATGCTTTTTAATATAAAGCCATGAATTCTGTGTTAATTAGTAGTAATAATAACTGTAAATGTAAATTATACTCTTTCGGTCCTTAGTATAAGAGCTATTTAACTAATTTGATTAGATTAAGAAAGTTAAGTAAGTTAGTTAATTATAAAAAAAAATGGCATGCTTTTCCTAAAACATCATAATCATCTTTTTTAATATCCTCCCTCTTCTACTTGATTATGGTTGAAAGAGTATCTATAGGGGTAATATAGAAAAAACTGATAAATATAAGAAATATGTCTTATATTTAGAACTAAAATCAACTCAATAATTAGGTTCTATATTAAGGACTAGAGGAGTATTAAATACGAAGGGTTAGTACAAACGGGTACAAGCCTAAGCTGAAACATATAAAATCCTCAACATACTTATATTAAACTTAATCATCACAAACTCACTATTGATGACTTCTTTAAGTATCTTTTTCAGGCTTCCTTTACCTCTCTTCTTAGAACTAAAGACTACCTCCTCAACTTCTTCACTAGTACTTCCATCAACTTCTTTTGCACATGTTCAAACCATCTTAAATGGTTTTTTTTACCATTTTCTTCTCCCACCAACTTTTTCATCATATGCATTCATTATGGATCTTAGACTTTAAAACGTGTTAAAAAGCTTAGTTAGACAAAGAATACCCTCCTACTTTGAATGCTTCCACACTTCAATAGGGATGCCGTCAATACTAATGGCTTTACCATTGTTCATTTTTTTTCAGACTAAAAAAAAAAGGGCTATCTTCTGATCTTCAACTTTTTGTTTTAAAAGTCTGCAGGAAACGTCATTGTTTATTGTGTTTTCTCGCTGCATAATCCAGCTTATACAGAGGTATCCTTCTTACTGAAGTATAATTTTTTTTTTGAGCATTTCATATAATTTGTGGCTTGTTTGGACTTTCTTGCTTTTACGTGTTATCCATTCCTGTATTTCTCGATTTTGATCTGACATCTAGCTGCTGGGTGGTAAAAGAACGAGATTCATTATAGATAAACAATTTCCTATGTGTTGATTCTTTGAAAAATGATGTGATTAATTATCAAGTTGATACTCTAAATGATGTTTCCATCTCTTTAATTCTTCCAGAGGTATTCAATTGATATTATTCAAGATGTTTAGCATAAATGCATTTGCATGAGGTCAAATAAACTAATCCTGTCGAGCAACTTTCAATTATTATAATTGCCAAACTTGGGGAAAGATTCTCAAGAGACGTGCAAAAGACTACCTTACCTTTTTTTTCTTTTGTTTTTGTTTCTCTCTCTCTCTCTGTTTTTTTTTAAGCTGAGAAAACTTTGGTAAAGCTTCTTTGGTGTTTGTCTTTGAATTCTTGTAGTGCATAACTTGTGGAGTAACTTTCAAAAGCATCAATCATGTAGTGCCATACTATAAAAGACACTATCCCTGGTCCTTAATATGATTAAAAGCTAGATAACTGATCTGAAAATATCAAGAAAATTAATTGAATTGATTTTTTATAACAAGTATGTGTTGACTTTCTTAAACTACCATATTCAATCATATGCATTAGAACTATCTATTGGTAAAAACTCCTTACAATTAATAGAAATATTTTGGAGAAAAAAATTATAAATTTGGAAGAGAAAGTGGGTTAAGGTCTTCTATTTAGAATCAAATCTAACTCATAACTAACTCTTATACTAAGGATATGAGATAGTATTAATAGGTCATGCTTTAACTACCCCTATGTTCTATCCCTTTTCTTTCAGGGATATGAGTTCATCTATCTAGAGTTATGCACTGTATGGTTTACTAACTGCTTTATAACTTTACATTTAAATATATGTATATTGGCATGCTTACTTCTAAGTATGACATTTCTTAAACTTTTTTTATAGATCTGAATTTAATACCTTGTTTAATGTGCTGAGTTGTTTTTAGTATCAAAGCAGTTACTTTATCCCCATAAAATTTTGAATTCAAATTGGTACATAATATTTTTTTTGGGACTAAACTTCTTCAATGAGTGTAAATTTATTCACACTTCTAGATATTCATGCCAAGATAAGCATTCAATATTTGAAAATTTCAATTGATCTAGGACACAACATATATGTATTATGAAGATATAGTGTTTACTTGTTTCCAATGTATCCATACTATGCTGATAGATAACTGAAATTGAGGACTAACTTGTAACAATAAAGAGACTAGCTAGAGGGGCTAATGCGGCCATAAATTATGAGAATGCCAAAAACAGAACACTGCATCCTCAAAATCCTACATTTATTATGAACCAGGCAACCATTACTGCTGGTTTGTGGTAAACTTTTCCTAGTTTAGTTCATCATTTATTATTATTATTTTTCTTTTCAAGTTGTAGGATTTCATGACTGAGTTGGGCTAACATGTCATGCTTCACTTGTAAAACCAGAAATAACAAGTTGGCTGAGGAATACAAAACCCCATCAGAACAGTTACATTAATATAAGCAACAACATGTTGCTGCTCAATTCTGACGGGATGAAGGAAAACCAACAAGGCTAGTGAAGCAAGAATAAGGAAAGACAAAGGGAATTATTTGTATTTTTTTCCTATTTAATGGTTGCTTATTATATGTATGTTTTGGTTAATTGTTGTTATGTTGAAACAACCTGATCATTGTATTACTGTCTCCTTCTATTTTGAATCTGAAGTTGGCAATTTGCTTGTTATAAAGTAGTTCATTTATGAATGAACTTGACATGCTTACTTTGGCAACATATGATATCAATAATCCCTCAAATGTTCAATAACTCTTATAATATTTACAACTCCATTAGTTTGCTCCAACAATTAGTCCCAGAGCTTCAGCAAGCTGCTAGTATCCAACATCTTCTCTTTTTTTTTTAATTAATTTTTTTTCAACATTCGTAACGTAATTAACAATTCTTATAATAATATTCATAACTCCCTTAATGCTAGAACCTTGGTTACGGGACAATGGGACGATGGGATGACTTGAGGTTTTTGAAAAAAAATCAAAGGAAAACATCATCAATACACCAACAATTTAAAATTTCAATTTATTTATTATAACTGATTTAAAATTTTACAAATTGAGGTGATTTTTTAGAATTTTGAAAACCACTCACGTCGTTATTATAAGGGACTTGTAAGGAAAATTGTTGGTAGTAAATATAAGTTACTTGTAGTTGTAAGACATTTAATGATTGTTTTTCAATTTTTCCCCATTTAATCCTTTTTTTGTTTGGGGGGTATAAATGTGAAAATGATTTGTAAATACAAAGAGAGAAAGAACTTTAATAAGAATAAATTTAAAATTTTTTATTAATTTAATACATTTTTTGGCATGTGAGAATGAATTAAAAATGACTTATAGAATGGTATTCCATATTGTTGATTGCTTCTACTTCTTTGGGCTAGTATTCTGTTTTTGATGCATCACAATATGCATTCCTTGATCAGATTGTAGATGAGGAAGTTGTGTAACGAAGACAATGGTTTGCTTGGCGTTGATATGAATGAGGAGTTCTTCCTTAACGTTAACAAAGAAGAGTTCGTTTTCAACTATTTTGAATTTAAACATGCTGAGCTTTTGGTTTTAGTTTAGACGCTGAGGACAAGAGTATGTATGATTTCTTTTACAAGGGAGTCACCAAAATGGAGATTGTAACTGATCTAATCAATTATACGGCTGACATTTATCATCAATGTATTCAAAATTGGCATAAGCAGCACATTAAAGAAATCCTGTACACAAATTATGCATTTAAGTGGCATATCAGAGTCAGAAAATTAAAGAAATTGGCCAGGATATAATTTCCTTACCACTGTCCTGTGTCGTTACTATCATTTCTCAGGACACTGTAAGGTCAAAGACCACCAGCTCCCATGTTGTCACATGCAGCGGGAGAAGCATTTTCAGTTTTAGTTTTTCTTTAACAATTTTTTAAATACTTACATCAAATTTTTTATATTCATTATGTTAAATCCTCTCATATTAAAAGATTAAAATTATTATGCTAAGGAATTAAAATTTAAACATGTTTTGCTGAGTTAACATTAAATTCGCTGATTCAACATTTTCCGTTAGTGAAAGTTAACCATGTTAATATTAAGGACTCCAAATACACTTTACAAGCATAAGAAACGAAACTGAGACTTGATGTGAATTTAAACGATCATATGTATACTTTTGCCAAAAGAAAAAATAAACAAGCTTGAGTCTCATTTATCATAGTTCAGAAAGCTCTTATAAAAATATTTATACTTTCTCTAATACTAAACATAACTCACTTCTAACTGATTTAGACATATTAACTTCAGTTGTTATATAAAACAGAAATATTCTATATGACAACTGAAGTTTTCATGTCAGTACATTAGAGAAGATCTTATCATAGCATCTCTTTTGCCATCAAGAAACATCGCTCTTCAACAAATGATCTGTTCTTTTAACAATTGGCGAAGATATTCATTCTCTCCTGTCAAGTTTAGCTGAATAATCGAACAAAAGTACATCCCACGACCAACTAAACCAGATAAAAACAAAGTTATTATAAAATAAAAGATTTTCAGAGTGAAGGTAGGCATGGTGATGAGGAAGGCTTAAAACAAAATGGGGAGTGAGAAATTCAAGCTTCTATTTTCTGTTTACCAGTTCATGATAACATACCATACCAACCAAACAAACATGCACTGAATTGTTCTCTAATTTCAGCTTTTCCTCATCCACCTATAAAAGTTAGCTCATTTGGTAAGAAATAGTATCTCTCATTAACAATATTGATTTGATTCTTCAGAGAAGCACTCAAGGACTAAAATTCTGACCACTCAAGGGCAAAAATCCTTAACATAATAAGGAAATACTACCTCTCGTACCTAATATAAGAGTTAGTTGGGGATTTGAGTTTGGTTATAAATATAAAACCTCAATCAATTCTGTTTTCCATACTCATCATTTTTCTCCCCAAACTATTCCTACTGATTGCACGTATTAAGGGAATTTGTATCAAAAGGTAATTTCAATGCAAACAATTTAAAAGAATATTTTAAGAAAACCAACACATATTTTTGACAAATAAATAATTTAATTAATTTTCTTAATCTATCCAAATTAGTTATATTAAGGATAAGGGTAGTATCAAAGATTTCACCCTTAGAGATTCCCACAAGGAAGCTGGACAAAGTTCGAAAGTACTTTCACTAAGAAGTTACTGAAAAAGAAATTTACCTACATTTATCATTAACAAGTAATGAGCACATCTAAAGTAAACTGTCTTCAAAGGGTTCAATGAGAAATAGTAGTACAGTATATTATTAAACATGCACCTGGTGTCCCGTGGAAGACATCCAATAAAACGGAACTATTAAACATGCACCAGGCAGGAGACACAGATATAAGGATGTCAATTTGTGTAATAAATACTCAGCTTATCCTGTTCTATTAAATTGATACAAGAGTTTCCCTGCTCTCAGCCTGTCCCAAATCTATCCCATATCCTTATCCTTATATGGCATCAATAAACAATTTTTAAATAGCAATATTTGGTCCAAAGACTAAAAGTACGTACTTTCGCGGTAAAGTAGTAATTTATATATAATTCTTTCATTTCAATATTTATAGCATATCAGCAAAATGAATTAATCTGAAAGACAATCTGAGATAAAAGCTTGTTTAGGGCTTTTGGACGGGGAAAATACAAGGCAATAAAAATGGCCATGCGTTCAAGTATGAGATGAAAAGATCCCAAAAATACTGAGATATGAGACCAATTAAAGAAAATGGACATAGACCCTGTCCCGCCCTATTATCATCATACATGGATGATATTATAGGCATGCAACTAAATACATACTAATCAGGCCCACACATCCAAGTAAACAAAATGTCGTAGATCTCATCCTTCTTTCACCTTGAATGAATTGACAATGGGCTGTTTTAGTAACAGCTGCATTAGGTTTTTTACCTTATAATGCTTGGTCCATTTAAAAAAAAGAAAAAGAAAGACAATGCTGAGATCAAATTCCTTATAACCATTATGTCAAGTTCTCCTCACACACGGCCATGTATCCTGTCTTTTCATATGGGTTAAGGGTTAAATGATGATGGGGGGGGGGGCCCGGGGGGGTGGGGAACAAAATAGGACACATCAGTGTGATTGAAGAACTTGATATAATGGTTGTAAGGAACTTGATTTAAGTCTTATCATTAAAAAAAGGACCCAACAAATGTAATTATAGACAGATGGTCAGGAATTGGAATGTAAAATCTTTCTAGATTAGATACTTATGTTACCATTAGTTTGTTAACATTTGTTATATATGTGTCTTTCATTTAGTAGCTAATTATAAAGTGATACCGTACTTTTCTCTGGGGACAATAATAGTAAGGAAAAGTCAGCTTAGAGTTGTAGTTTCTCTTGAATAAAGATCTAAAAAAGACGGAATCGCTGAAAGAATCCTAAAGGGGATAAGAAGGAAATTGAAGTATATAACACTACAGGTCTTAAATTGAGAAAAGTAGATGCTGTTCAATATTGAAACTTACCTGAAATAGTTTTTCAATTATCTAATTGGAAATGCTCACCTCAACATTGTATTCTGTCAAAGGAAAGCATTCTCCTTACTAATATAATAACATGGTGTTAAATCATCTTACAGCATGAAGTATAATAAAATATTGTAAAATTGCACGTTTTTATCTCTTCACCGCCCCCCACGCCCCCCCCTAAAAGAAAAAAATTATCTTCCCTCGAAATTATGACTGTTCCTTAAATAATGTCTCTCTTACGCTCCTTCCCAATATAGAAACCAGTCATCACAAATTATTTAAACAAGTTACTTTCCCAGCAAAAATGCGGCAGATATAAGCAATAGACTGATAATAGATATTCATGTAACCCTTGGCACATCTAAAAGTTGCAAAATACCTTTATTGATAAATGATATATTAGTTTCACTTAGTTTCACAAACAGATGAAGACACTATAAAATCAACCCGAAAATTACCATAACAAGCCTCTCATGTCTCCACACCTCTTCTAACTGGTTTCTCCATTTCCTCTTTCAATATCAATACAGTGGGCACTGCCTGCATTATCTCTAGAGCAACTTTGGGCAACACTATTATCTGGATGAGTTGTAGATCTTGATTCAGAGAATTGTGCAGTTGGTGTTTCTTCATTGCTAGATGGTCTCTGCCAAAAATTATTTCATTGTCATTATCGTATTATAATCATTCATCTGTGCGATGGCAAGGCACAACTTACTGATTTATTTTCCTTCAGATAAAAAAGGCTCAAAAAGTTTTTAACCGTCAACATCTAGTCTCATCCTGTAATGTGATGTTGACATTCATAAACATAATATGCGTAAATTTACCCTTAACTTTTGATAAGTATGTGTTTTGAGGTATATTAATGAAGAACACGTGTATTTGATGGGTCATAAGTTTTGATAAGGTTTTATTTTTTGACATTCATAAACATAATATTTGTAAGTTTACACATTTATGACGCTGCAGTTAGATGCTTGCAATTAATTAAATGATTATCAGCTAATTCATGATCAAATCGCTGCATGTGTTTGGAGTGTCAAATACAGACCCCTATATATACCTGTCTCCAAAATGATCAGTAATTACCGACTTCTACCTGTAAATTAGATGTCTCAGTTGAAGATTTAGCAGAAGCTAAAAGGGACAAGCGACAGAGAGGGCAGGTGCTGTGGTTGGTGAGCCAAAGATCAATGCAGCTCATGTGAAATGTATGGCCGCATGCAGGTATCTGTTGAAGCTTGTCTTCTGGTTGGTAGTCCAAAAGGCAAACTGAGCATCTGCCACAAGATAACTCATCAATGAGGATAGATAGTACAGGTCTTGGTTCAAATTCCCCTAAACTTAAGAAGAACATGAGCTTCTCTATATTGCCAAGTTAAACAGAAACAGAAATCAACACGTTAAAACAAGTGAAATGCTAAAATTCAGAGGATCAAAAAGATCAAAAGTAGTGTGATGTCCTGCAATGGAAAATTCTTGCGATAACTTTTTCTTTATACATCTTATGAGGTAAGGGGCAAATATTTTGCTTTCACTGTGAATTTTATCCAAGAGGAATATATCATGCTCGCTGCATTCAAACCATCTTATCATACGGACAGCCCACAATAACTAAGCTCCCTCTAATATGCAGTCTAAATCTCAACAATAAATGAAGAGAGCAAAACAAGTTTTATCAAATAACTTGAGAATACCCATGCACAAAGTATTCTAGGACCCAGAAGCTACTGTGAAGAAACTTTCCAGAAGATTGTTTCCGAGCCAATTTTTCTCATTTAAGATTAAGGAGCTACAAACAGATCCCAAATAAGGAAATTAATTATTTCCTCAGTCCCATTTACACGTCAAACTCTTGTATCCACAAGTGGTTAGAATTCTGAGAAACTAATTTTCTTATTTGAGACCTATATGTAATTCTCCCTTAAAATTGTCATTGCTAAGTGAATGAAAAATAAAAAGTCAGCTGGCATCGTGCACTCCAACAATGAATCAAAATATGCAAGGTTACTTGCTTTTATTAGCTTATTCATGTCAGTATAAGGTACACCATATGCCTGATTTGCGATACCCCTTCTGAAAAATTTTGCCCGATACATTTTAGGCAATGCCAAACTATTACAAGTCAGAAACAGGTGAAATCCTTTCCAACCTGCATCGAAGCATTCCAAAATCCCAGGGGGGAAAAAAAAACAAGAAGAAGCAAGTGCTCTTAAAGTACTTTAAACTGAAATGAAATATGACCTAAAAAAGGCTTTAACCGTGAGAAAATAAAAAAGAAAATTTGAACATATTTAATGCTCACTAAGTAATCAAATCCTCAATATTATTGTTAGCTTCTAAATATATATAACTGCAATTTTAGTTTTTAATTGATAATAGCCTGATTAAACTCTATGCTGTACCCTAGATTTTTCAAAATCTGCCATATGCCCTAGTCGTGTGGTTTCAGAATCAAAAAGCACACCAAAATCTGTGCATCATAGCTGCAGTCAATTTTCATGACTGAATACTGATCACGTATCATAATTCCTCCTGGTGTCTTTTCCAGCATGGAACATCAATTATTTATGGCAGTCTTTTCCGTTAAAAACATTGGTTTTTACCTCCATCTGCATCATTAAAATACATAATTTATGTATTCCAAACACTATTTTTTCCATTAAAAAACAGTTATTCAAATGATATCTCTAGGCTTTGACTTTAATATAACATATATCATGTTAGAACTTCATGATCAAGAGACTTTACTATTCAATGTCTTAAGATGCCCACTCATGATGGCAACTATTATTGCACCCAAATTTACGGCTTAAATTTTCTGATGTTTACCACGTTGCAAGATAATGAAAAATGGATCATACAATAAAAGTAATTATACAAATAATTGACTATGTGTTGACCAAAAGTCCATTTAAGAGTATGATAAAACAGTACTCACCTTGACTAATAAACAAGCCAATTTCACTTCAAGCTTAGTTCATAACGGAATCAAGCAAGTTCCAGCTGACAAACAAGCCAGATTGAAAAATAATATATTTCAACGTATTGCAAATATCCCTGTCCCTCCGGCTTCAACTAAGCTAACTGTTAGGTCCCTTCCCCACAAACCATACTTTCCATGAATTCACAACATATAGTCAAGGTTATTCCCAGTCCCTAATTAAGCCAAAGGACTCTCCCAGGAGAGAAAATCTTACATGGACTTAAACTTCCAATAGGGTAGAACAAGGCAAAATAACCATCTAAAATGTCAGTTCTAGGTGGATCTCACTTTTATACGCGCATTTGGTGAATTTTATAGGCAAATTAGCAGACCAAGTCTGTGCAAGAATTTCCATTTCCAAAAATTGCTTAATAATCATAAAGAAATGCAAAATAGGAACCGATACATGAACATAGCGACAGCGAAAAAGTTAAATAAAAATAAACACCACAAAAAGTCGAAGAAGCCATCTAACTCACTGTGTATCTTTAACTGAGAAGCTTTCTTTGTAAACGATAATCGGCAGCATCTCTCTCAGTTCTTTCTTCAAACCCAATTCCGACTGCTAAATCAATCACGAAACAAGATATTAACAGGTAAATATCAAAACATGCATGTGCAAATCAGTTTTCATTTTCCGTACTCAAAAGTTCACCTAAACTATCGAAAATACAAATAGCCAACGATGTGATCTTACCCTGGAGTTACCGTCATTATCCTCGGCAGCCGCAAACGCTCTCATCCTTAGAGACGACCAATCAACCCGACGAGGTCGAAGGTAGAACACGTAGAACAGAAAGAGCAGGATGAAAGTGAAGAAGATGGGTACAGAGAAAATGAAGGCTCGGTAAAGCTTGAGCTCAGCAGAAGCTGAATCCAAATGATCCGATCTTGAGCAGCAAGCCGAAGAAGTGTCTGAACTGTCTTGAGACATTACCAACCCGCTTCCCAGAACCCAGAAATCCCATAGATGTCAAGTAATTCTCAGATTAACGCACCGACACTCTATAAAGTCAATTATTATGAACCAAAATCTAGCTGAGCAATCATGCTGAGTTGAATGCAAGAACTGATAGCCTGTAGTGAAGTTGAAATTACGAGAACCTTCCGAAGACAGGTAATTTCCGAATCAACTAACAACGATGTCCCAATCGGAGAAAAATGAAGAAATGTGGAGAAAATAATTGAAGAGAGACTTAAAGGCTGGAATTGACCTGCGTGAGAAAAGGATCGGGCCTGGGATGCGGATTGATGGCGGCTGTACTTGAAGAAGGCACAGCTGGATTTATACAAAACGAAAGAACAAAAAGGAAAAACCGAAAAAGAGAAAAATATTTATGACACGGATTGAAGAGAATCGAAGAGAAAATATGACGGCATGGAACTCACAAGTACATGGCCCAGAGAGCAGCGAGGAGTAAGGAAAAGACAAGAGGATGACGTGTGTGGGGATTTTTACCAAAATGCTATGAACAGTGAAATAAAATATCAAAATCCTACTGCATGGAAAGATATTATCGAAATGCTACACTTTAAATTCATTACCAGGAGATGAATTTATAAACTTCATCTTGCCCAGAACGAGTTCTTCAATAAAGTGGGAAAATTTACCAGATGAATTTGTAAAGTTCATCTTTGAGTGATGAACTTCAGAAAAAGTACTTTTGTCTTTTTCTTCCCATTTCCATGCGTATGAGTATCCTCTCCCCGTACGAATCTCTCATAACCACTTTTGTCTAAGTCAAAAAAGCAACTGAACTCTTTGCATGTGTCTGAAGCTAGGAAGAATATTAAGTCATCTTATCTCCCTTGCCCGTGAAGCTACAGTAGTATTGTGGCTTGCTATATATTTTGCATCTCCTTTTATGCCCATGAATGCGTCTGAATCGTTTGAGCTTTACTTATACATTTTGCATCTCCTCTTATGCCAGTAGCCCATGAATGCGTCTGAGTCCTCCGCATGTTGAGCTTGTGTTCCCACTTCATGTATTTAGACTTCTCTCTTCTCTCTCATCATCTTACTCTCCTGTTTTATTAGTTGCTCTAGCCTCCTCCATTCTTTTGTTGTCTTGTTTCTCTACTTTTACTTCCAAACATTCGACACATACTTTTACTATTGCTGAGGGTATGTTACTTCTCTTATGTATTTTTTATTTTGTCATTATAATATTTAATTTGATTTTCTTCTTTATTTTTTATTTGATAAACTATTATTTTAAATCTCTAGGTGCTAAGTGGTGGCTTGAACAATTTCAAAAATCTATACTCTTAGGTGCCTCTTATTTTGCCCGTAAGAATTCTCCATTGTAAATTTAAGATCTCAAGATTTTGTTTTGATCTCTATTACCCATTTAATCCTATTTATAAGGCACTTTTAGTATATTTCACATAGATTAAAAAACTATTAAAATAATTTCACATCCACTATCTCATAATTTGATTATAAAAGTAACACTAATCAAGCACAAAAATGTATATTTTCATCAAGTATTTTTTTTTTTTCAAGAGTCAGATCTGTTATGCATAAAAAGAACTAATGGCATAGGAAAAAAAAAGAGTAGAAGAGGTGAATAACAAAAGGAATGAGTAGGGGAGAGTGGAAAAGATGAATAGTGAGAGAGAGAGAGAAGAAGTGGAACATGCGGGAATAATAGCATAAAAAGAAGACAAAATTGAAGGACATTTAGCATTGGATAAATGAGTGAAGAAAATGTACTAACTGTGCAAATAACTTAATAAGGATAATTATGTATGTTTGTATTAAAAATTATATCAAGTGCCTTATATATAGGATTAAAATTTACACTCTCTCTGTCTTATAAATAAAACTAGAGGAGTATCTTTTAAGTATATGATTTTTTTTGAAATGAATATATAAGAAAAAAATTCATAGGTTTAACTTTTTTCCCCATATTATTCCTTATTTGCTATCAATTTTCATAATTTTTTTTTGTTTTACTCAATCTTGATAGGTGTGAATTAAAGCAACTAACAATTAAAAAATTATTAAAATAAATCTGAATATTTTTATTCATTTAATTATTTATTGTTTTAAAAAACCGAGGTTAAGAAAAATAATTATAAAAATTTAAATTGTATTTAATGAAATCAAGTAAAATATGTTTATTTACATTTAAACATATTTATAAAATATATATGGGGTAAAACAATTTATAAAATTAAAAGTAACGAAAGAGATGTTTGAAAAAAAGAGAAAATTTCAATCGGAATAGAATAAAGACGGATAAAATTTAACTATTCGCTAAGGGTATTCATGTAGATGAATAATTTCATTTCATTGTGTTTAAATATGTAAGATATGTTAGCTTAATAATGAATGATTTTAATTTGATTCCAATAAATTTTGTTATAAATATTGATAAGAAAAAGATTATAAATTTTTTTAGTACAAATTAAGGAGATTATAAAAAAGATCTATTCAATGGAAGCATGATAAGAAAAAATGTAGGGATTTAGTTAAGCGTATTTTAATATTTTTAAATTTATATTTTAGTATTTGGTCTTTCTAAATAATTATAATTTTTAAGATCCTTCTCAATAAATATTATTTTTCTAGGTCCTTCCCCATAAGTTTTTCTTAAAATAATATAATTTTTACCTATTTAGTAAATATTTTGGATAAAATAATGAGAATAAAATATAATATAAAAGTAAATTTTTATTAATAAGAAAACAGGTGGCAATATTTTGCTAAACTTTTTTCATTAATAAAAATGAATATCATAAAAAATTTAATTTTTAAGAATCTATAGTATACATAGATTTGATATTACTTTTAAAACTATTATAAATTTAATTAAAAGGTACGAAATGAATCAAAATAGAATTATAATACATATATATATATATGAATAATTTTTTTAGCACTAGGCTTAAACTTATGCGAACTATGCATGAGAAACCATGATTTGTGAGTCTTTCTATTTTCAAAGTTTTGTCTTCTCCCAGTTGTACTTAATTAATGATTATAATGTAATATTTAGGAAATATAATGGATCATAAAAAGGAGTTCGTATGTATATTTGCAAATGGACGAATTTATAATGGCCAAGCCGGTACAACATTTGAGTCCAACAGCGTGAAAATAATCAAAGTTGATGAAAATATTACATTGGACAAATTGAAGCAAGTTATTGGACAAAAGTTACGACTTCCTCCCAATCAAATGGTGACAAATCTAGTATATAGATATCCTACATACATAAATCCACCACAATACCAAGCATGCAATTTGGAGGATGATGCATATATAAAAGAAATGTGGCAAGTCAGAAGAAGATTTTCAACTCAATTGACATGTGCAGAATTGTATGCCAACATATGTAATTTTTCAGATTATGGTCATGTAAAATCACAACCAATGGATGATTGTGTGGGAAATACACTCCCGTTAAGTAGCAATGAGGTGAACATTATGGAACAAGGGTCCATGTTTAGCAATGACATGGAAAATTTTCAACCATTTGAACCTCCCATAGATGGTGGCAACAATGGACCATCATGCTCTTTTCCTCAAATAGAAGACATTGTGGATGAATTTGAGGATGAGGATGAGGATGAGGATGAACATGATTCATATTTAGATTCCAGTAGTGGGAGTGATAATGATGACAACATAATTGAAGGGGAGACAAGATCTGCTTGGGCATAGTTTTTATACATTGTGCGCCAATATGTCGTAAAAGAAAGAACGGGAATTTGTTTAATTTCAGATAGGCATCGTTCAATTTTGGCCGCTGTTGCTAATCCCCAAGTAGGATGGCAACCACCACATGCATATTATGTTTTTTGTTTACGGCACGTGGCTTCAAATCTTCACAAAGCACATAAAACAAATTGGTTGAAAGAGAAGTTTATAAATATTGGCGAGATTCCTTGTGCTTTTTATGATTTTATAACTACATGATTCTATAAACATTCTAACAAACTAATATTTTTCTGTAGGATATGCCTACGAATGTCATGTTGTTGATCAACAATTAGCAGAGATAGTATTGCACCATGCACCTGCAGCAAGATGGATTAGAGCCATCCCAAAAGAGAAATGGTCATGTGCATATGACCTTGAAGGCCGTCGCTTTGGACACATGACAACTAACCTTGCAAAGTGCATGAATAATTTATTTAAAGGTGTTCGAAGCCTACCGATAACTGGTTTAGTTAAGGCAACCATGTATAGAGTCAACAACTATTTTGTCAAACGTGCCCAACAAATTCATGCACAAATTACAGTTGGTAAAGTATTCTCTGAGACAATGACAAAGAAGTTAAACATAGCAACACAAAATGCTTCTGCGTGTGTTGTTCGAGAATTTGACAGAATATCAACATCATTTGAGGTTGTGGAGCCCTACAATGTTCAATGTCATCAATTTCATCGATGTTGCAAGGTTAGCTTGATTGAAAAAAAATGCGATTGTGGAGAGTTTCAAGCAGAAAAGTATCCATGCATACATAGCATTGCTGCATGTGCACGAGTAGGCATAGACCATTTGTAATATGTGGATCCTGTTTTCATATTAGACATCATACAAATAGCTTATAATAATAAGTTCCAACCAATGGGTGTCTTACTCTAATACCAGACCCATCAATGATTCGAGAAAAAGGACGTCCTCGTTCAAGTCGCATATGTAATGAAATGGATTAGATCACTCCCAACCAAACTAACAAGTGTGCATTGTGCCGATAAGTTGGTCATAACCGTTCTACGTGTCCACAAAGTGTAGCATCCAAGCAATAAATTATGTAGTTCACTTGTTGTAATAAATTATTATTTTTTGTGAAGATTAGACTATAATTACTTTGATTATCTGTTATGTTATTTGTAAATTTTTCTTTAATTTATACATAGACGTTTTAAAATGGCACAATGTCCAGAAGAGATTATCACCCTTGGCCCAAAGGATAACTCTCTTTTATAAATGCAACCTCAACATATTTCAGAACGTGTGTGGAATGATAATATAAGTAAAATCTATTTACTATAGATTATAAATTCTATGCTTCGATACTAACCTTTTTCCTTTTCTTTCTATGATAGATTAATAGAATCCTACATACTAGACGAGTGATGCACACTAATAGAATGATTGACCCACCCAATCAAATTATTGAATATCTTATATTAACCGGATTTTATGGTGCTACTAGAGTAGGACAATTTGAATACGATGGAGGCTTGGTCTCAACACTTGTTGAGAGGTGGCGTCCTAAAACTCATACATTTCACACTACACGTGGAGAGTGTACCATAA